AAAGAATAGGATAAACGACTTTAAGTCAAATGCTTAAAACATATTTTCACTAGCATTGGATTTTTTCTCTTTTTTCATCATTTAAGTTAAGTAGGTACTTCAACTTTTGAATTGTTCCTGTTCAGAGTTCATTGAACTTCTTATTTTTTGTCAAACTCAATAATTTAAATGTGTCTAAGGACTACTACAAATATTTAGTAAACTATCGTGTCTTTGAGGATTATCTCATACCAGGTATAACTATAAGTTGTTAAAAACTTGCATATGTATGCGTGTGTATCTTTCATATTAAAATATAATAAACATAGGTACTTGGTGACCGCTTTAATGTGGTATTATTATGTTTTTATTATTGTTATGAATGTAACTTCAAAAAACTAACACTGATTTTATAATTTTTGATTGATTGAGAAAATACTGAAAATTATTAATCAAAATAAAGTACTAAACAGTAGTATTATTTTTATATTTTATTAGAACTGAATGAATATGATGTATGAATAATATGTTTATTGTGCTAATAAGGTTACAGTTTAGTTACTTTCATGTAAGTTCATGAAAATGTAACATGGTATATGATATTGTTTTCAGATTTTCCTGACATCAACAACTTAATACTGAACAAAGTTTAAACAAATAAGAGATGATATTCTAAATCTCCTAGTCATTCAGATGAAGATAAATAACATTTTTACTATAAAGAACAGGAGTTCAAAAGAATAAGAAATATATTTATATATATGAACATTTTACTGTATAAAATAATAATGCAAGTAAAAATAAGAGAAAAAAGCAGAAGAAAAATCTGTAAATTATTAATCACAATGCAATTAATAATATAATTAAATAAGTAAGAAAGCAATGGACTAGTGATGAGAAGAAATTCCAAGTTAGAATTAGTTAAGAATTATGTGTAACCGACTGCAAATAAGTTTATGATTTAAGCTCATGATTATTATTATATTGCTTCATCAACAAATCCAGGAATATTTTGTGTACCAGGAATTAATTATGAAATGATTTTGATGAAATATTATGTCTTGATATTGATTTATTTGGAATATAATATAAAAATAACAGAAGTGTTTGAAGTTTTAGTGGTATAATAGACAAGCAGTGAAAGAAATATTATTGTAAATTATTAACAATTGTTTATTCTGTGATTAATAAATTATTTAAAAGTGTTTTATTACCTGAAATAAAAATTTTATGATCTTCAAGTGTTGTGTTCATGCAATGTTAGTTTCACCTCATTTGATTTAAAATGTCAGGAATTATTTACTACACAATGATTTTGTATTAGATGGTAATCATATATATTTTTTAATGCAATGTGTATAATAATTCCCATTTACATCAAAAAACTTTGTGTAAATCTGTATTTCTCTGTCTATAGACTTTGGTTGTGGAATACTAATAAGAAACAAAATCTAGAGACTAGTATATCACAGCATCCCAGAACCTTGTATTTAAGTCATATAAGGACTTAGTACCTACCTAATACTTGCTACTTTTTTAATCAATTAATTAATTTGATCTCAATCATCATGATGAACAATGATGATAATGTTGAGAATACTGCCAATGATGAATTTTATGGTGGTCATAAATAAATACCACCGTCACTATCGTCAACAGTCATTATTGATCTCATCATCATCACCGTTACCCTCCTTCATCCATATTGTCAAAAGTTACTACCTACTATTATGAACTGAAATGGTAAATAAGCTGACGATCCATCCAACCACGACGCTATCCGACGTACATAATATTACGTATATATTATTAAACAGCATTACGTCATCATGTCGTGCCCGCTATATCCCGCATACGTTATCATTCCGGAGAACATAGATGTTATGTCCAAATATCCTGTAATTTCGCAGCTTAATTTCAACTGAATAACAACTTACATAAATACCAAAAAACTAGCAGTAAAGGCGTAGTTTGTAGATATCGAAGGTTCTACAAATAGGTATAACATCAAAATAAGTACCTACATGTCATTAGCACCGATGTAGTATCCCTGAAAAAACCTATACATATAACAGATTGATGGTTTGCAGATATTATTTTCAGTTTTACAAATTGCCAGTTTACCATAATTAACTACATATTGAGAAATAATTATATACTGAAAATTATATGAGGTATCCATATGCACATCAATTGATTATAGCTAAAATCTATCACTATCACATAACAATTTAAATAAAAAAAACCGTATTAAAATCGGGTTATTCGTTAAGGAGCTATTGCTCCTTAACCGATAGCCCGATTTTAGTGCAGACGCGTTACGACATATCTTCGTCGGGAGAAAAAAAGTAGGCATGTAAAAAAGTAACTGTAACATAGTACATAGATACATAGGTACATTAGCCGTGTCTGTAGACTGTCAGCGAACAATATTATACCTACATTGAATTTTCGATTGTACCCAATCAGGAGTTCGATACAGTTATATACCTATTATGTACGTATCTTTGCAAAACAGATGTCATGTAGACCGAATTCTCTGCCATCTATTTTCATGCTTTATTACTAATCACCCACTAGTAATCCGAACTGCTTCAGATATAGCGACATCTAGCGCCTACGGCGGCGAAATAAAATAGCCCGAAGAATAGCCCGAGTTAGGAAGGAACCATTTTCTTGTATGGGATGGGGTATCTGTATGTAATATTATATTATCTGTGGTTATAATGAAAACGAGTGCTATTATTGCAAGCAATACACGTCAGTTTGACCCTCTGGAAATAATTTTCATTAATTCCATGAATTTGCTACGATGAGCTGGGGGACCTGATATTATGCTTATCGTATCACCCCTCACTGGTGGTCCGCAGGCGTTAGCGTCGGTGGATGCAACACTCCATATTAATTCGTACAAAAAAGCAACAAGTTTTCCAGTGAATCCGCGTGAAGGGTAAACTTGACAATGTTTTTTTTATTATATTTATCGACCACATCTGTAATCCGGTAATAGGAACTTACAGATTACGGAGCTCGCCATATTTCCAGCAATGATATTAATAGTCCCAATTAGTAATTTACCATTTACAATTCCCTTAATGCCAATGTGACTCCTTGACATAGCTACAAAAGCAAATATATTAAGTATATATTATTAAATATCTATTTGTGAAATATTTTTTTAAAACAATATATATAATAATAATAATATTGAATGTGATACAGAATAGTCCAACCAGCGACATCTCAAATGAATTATAAAACATTAAAAATAATTTAACAGTATTAATTTTAGTCAGAACTTCATATAGATACCGAAGAAGTTGTATGGGCATATAAAGGAATTTGCAGCACAGCACAGGGGCAATAAGACACATGTTTCAGGCCACAGTATAGCTGAACTAGACTCGAAATTGGAAAAAAATTCATAAATTTTGGATGAATGATTGGATCATATGATATAATGGCCCTAATTGCATATCAGACAAAAGAAAAGTTCACACATTGTGAAAGCACAAATTGAAAGGATACTGAATTGAACAGAAAAATAATTTACCTATAATCTGTTTTTTAACCTCGGAGATAAATTTGACCTACCTATTTACCTACCTATTTTTATAAGAGCTCAGAATGTTTGTTAATGCATTTTAAATAATCTGGGTAACAGTAACAAACTATAAATAAATTACCTACTTTTTATTGTGATGAAATATTTCAATATCTTCATTATCAATAGTCAGTAAGGACAATATGTGTAAAGAAACAAAGTAGGAGTAAAGCATATAAAGTATAAAACCATAACCAACATTGATTTGAGTTGTCATCATACCTAACAAAAAAATAATTTCCTTAAAAACATCCTTCTCTTTTGATGAATGAAATACACATTCTCTATATGTTTATATAGATAACTGCATTGGTAAAGTGAATTGGAAGTATTGGATCTGTATTTGACAATTTTAGTTGCAGACACAACTGCCACGCCATCTATTGTCAAGTAGCAAAATTAAATAGTCATACCATTATCAAACAAATAGTATGCTACTTGGCAATATGTGCTTTTGAGTAATTTCCATTATTAATCTTTCCTCGACTCATAGTGGTAATACAATAACCAACATTTCATGATAGTCTGAACACTTAAACTAATTTGATATATTATTTGCTATACTATATTATTTTTATTACCCACTGTTTTCCTGTTCTTAATATAAAATTTGGGAAAAGCTAATATTTTATAAAATTTAATATTTTTCATGGTAAAGAAATAAATGTGATAAAAAACTTCAAAGATTGAAAAATGTTATAGACAATCTGAACTATAATAAAATTGGGTAGATACATTGATAAACATTATATACATATGAAATAAAAATCAATGGCCAAATGCATGTAAGCATATAATTTCAGAATGGCTACACCGCACCTATTTGCTTGTAACACAATGGGTAAGCACAGCCTAATTGTATAAAATGTATTGACTCAAGTTTACAAACTTAAATAATATTATGCAGATAAAAAAATATATAGAAAGATATTTCCTTCTAATTAAACAAACATAATTGTTTACATATTTCCTTATAGTAACCTGTTTGTTTACATTTTAGATTAGAATTTCATTTTTAAGTATAGTTTTGCACAGTTTATATATTAGAATGTTTCTCTTACTTCAACTAATCTCATACATACAAATATATTATGGTCTCTAGATTTTATTGATCATATATATCAATTTGTATATTTAAGAAACTGATAAGGATTTATAGTTTGACAAATAACCTTACTTATGGTGACAAATTATTTGCGTTGGCTAATATATCATTACATTACTATTCTTATCACTAAGGATACATTTAAGAAATATAATTCATAATATATTGATGTTAATTTTAGTTTATTTACCACGAAAATAATGTAATCTATAAATGCGAATAGATAGATAATTTGAGAAATATGTTATTTAGTTGCTAATTGTAAGCAAATGTCACAAATATATATAGATATCAAGAAATAATCTTACTTACCATAATGCATATTGTAATTTTTGTCCGTACAAGACAAGCTATTCAGTGAGAATGCTAGCTGAGGAACTTGTTGCGATGGAGAACTGTATGGGGACTCTATGAACACGTTTTGTGATAGTGGAGAGGGAGAACCAAAGTTTGATGATTCTGTATCTTGGTCACTAGCAATAGCTGACATTGTTCACACTTGTAAATACCTCACAAATTATTATATACACTGGGTTATTAATATAGACAGTAAATTTATCACTAATTCTACAATAATAAAAAATAAAACAGTATTAATAAAATTGAAATTGCGTTTTGTTAAACGTTGAACAACAAGAACTACTAAGTAAATAATCAGTATGACTGCTATCTAAGAGTTGCTATATATCGTAATTAAAGTTCCCCATTACTAAATCTATTTATTTCTAACATTGCCATCGGTGGCGCTGACATGTTACGAACAGAACAATTAAATGTGATAATCAAAAAACTTAATACTAAAGTAAGTGAGGTGGAATTGCTAATGAAACATCTTAAGCTTAATAGCAATTAGCCCAGGCTTTTGAAATACCTTCTACAAAGATAAAAGTTTAAGGGAACAAGTGTATTGATGATTTTTAAATAATAAATTGAAAAGCAGGATTATTATAATCTTATTTGTACAGAGCAATTGACTTGAACAATGATTTTTTAAAGTCATATACAACATGTTACACATACACAATGAAATTGCACAAGGGTGGGGTAATTTCCTTAAGTATGGCTACATTATACTCATACAAGGTCGACGAGTCGTTGACGTCAGAAATTTTACTAGCCGGGGAAGAACCAGTTACCCATGAATCACAAAAATCCCCACAATCACAAAGATTTACTATTTTTACTCTGTTTTACAAGACAGCCGTGACGGACGACAAATATGTTATTAATATTTGTATAAATAATGTAAATTTTATAAAAAAAGATTTAATTAAACTCACTTTCTTAAAATCACAACTTGTGTCTGACGTAGCTATAATCTATTATACATTCCAAAATAAGTTCGCATCTACTTTATTCATTTTAGATCGATCACAACTGAAGTTAGAGATAATTGACCATCCCCTAAGTTTATAATCCTTCATGTTTTTTTAGTGTGCAAATATGTTGCTTCTTTTCAGCAAGAATTCAGAAGGTCAGTTTCCAAGTGAAACCTTAAAAGGAGGAGTGGAGGTTGACTTTAAACCGTATATTGCTATATGGGACGTAACCTCCGTTGGGAATACCTTACACTCGTGGGGATAGAAATTATTAATGTTGTCTAGTGACTCTATTGCTAGCAATGTACCATATGGGCCTTCCACAGAGTTCACCCTGAAAACCATTGTAGTAAATACCTTTTATATTTGTCATGGTAATTTAATTGACCTAGGATCCTCATCTTTTTTTTTCGGACTACTCTAATGCTGTTGGCCGTACCTGGCCTTTACAGCTTCACCGGACGTTAGGGGCGAGTGCAGATGGCACTCCAAACCCGCGGAAGGACTTATGGAGCGGCTGAAGGCCAACTCCTGCCTGACGGATACGACTTTAGTCTGAGGGCACCACTAGGGGTTCGAACCTCGGCTCAGACCGTCGTAATTTCGATCCCCGTTTGAATTGGACGGGGGATCGATCGGAAGGGCGCCCGGGGGCGCCGGTGTGGTGCGCCCGGGCGCGCGCAGGCGCCCGGTCGAATGCGCAATATTGTACAACGAGTAGAGCATCGGAGAGAGGACGCCGTCCTGAGGGACGCCGGCTCGTATGGGGTGCGGGTCGGATAACGCTCCGTTTATACGGTAGCGATAAGAGCGATTCGACAGGAAATCTCGTACAATGAGTACTAGCCTGTCGGGGATGATCCTCCACTGGTGCCCCGTCAGCATATATATAGGCAGATTCATCATTCCATTATCATCCATTAAAAAACAAATCCCTTACACCTCCGTTACTGCGAGTAGATAATATGCTGATGACAGAGTCTGTTATGGAATAACATGTAAATTGTACTGTCATTTACGCATTTAGGCTTGTATTTGGGCCGTTCTCCATGGAGAGCAGAGACTACTAGAGTAACCAGCCAACTCCTCCCAGAGGTGTAGGATCTCTTATGAGTCCGCTGATCAACATCATTCACAGTTATTGAATTTCTTAATTTTGAAGTAAAACAAGAACTAAAAAAAGATTACAAAACCTTGATCTTTATTATAATAATAAAATACTTTATGTTAACAATAAGGCACATCGTATTTGTATACAATAACAACAATATATTGTTTGAGCAGATGAATATTTCTTATTTATCAGTATTTATTTTAACAAAATTTGAACAATAAGGCAATATTTGTATTCAATATCAACAATAGTTTAACAGTAACAATATAATATTTATTGGAATATAGTGGCATATTTAACCCTAAATGAACTAACAACAAAGATTATAATTAGATATCCTACCCTTTTCAGTAGGTAGATAAAAGCGATCACACACAGTATTGTTACCACTTCACTTTACTACCTTAATCAAGATTTTATATGTCTATTTTATGCATCAAGACTTTTTTTAACGACTCCAAAAATTAAAGAGGTTCTCAATTCGGCTGTATTTAATGTTTGTTACTCCATAATTCCTACATATTTATGTAAATACATTTGAAAAAAAAAGATTTCTTTCAGATTTGTACTATAATTTTATTTTTTGGGAGTCAATAATTCATACCTTTAATTTTTAAGCTATTACATAACTTTTATTAACGAGTGCATGGTCTTGAATAGTAATTCTTTTGATTTCCATGTGTTTTTACAATAAACTATTGTTAACAATATTCATTTTAGATTCATATTACAAAAGTAACTTTACTAAGAGAGTTAATTTGTAAAACGCGATGACAATGAGATTTTTTTTTAATAGGAACAATAGAAACTTCTGTAATTCCAATTATGAAATCATAGTAAAACAATGAATTTACAATACATATACAACAATGCAATAAAATAATATAAATAATTTTAAAATTGCGTATAATTCAAAACGTTCGTGAGATTTGATTGATTTAAGATCCTTTTGATTTCATATCTGTTTTGGCTCAATTTTAACATGAGATTCCTGTAATATCACACAACTAACGATTACAGGAGACAATTTTGGTATTTACTTAATTTACCTTTTCAAATACGACATTCGTAATACCTCTATAAATATATAGGGTGTAACTTAATTATATATACATGAGTATATCACAGACATGCAGCTACGAATGCACGCAAGTCTACGTGTAAATATTTAATAATGCATTATAAAATGATATATTAATAATATTAATTATTTATATAAACGATGGAATGTTTTAAAATACAATATTACTCTTATTTTTATTGTCACTAAGTAGTTTTTTGCATATTATAATTATGCATAAAGCTACAACAAAAATGTCTTATCAACTTATATGATATGAACAGATATGCAGATATTAAAACAGATACTATACATAAATGCCAGATTCATATAAAAGATCTTTTCAAATAATGCAGATAAATCAATAATGTGAAGTAGAAAACTTTATAAAATATTTCAGTGATGGAAAAGTCGAAGATTTGTGTGCGCTAGCACTATATTGTGTTCGTTACATGCTTGAATAACTGCCTCGTCGTTGTTAGATCCTGATGGACTGCCGATGTACTCCACACCAACCTTTAAACAAACATTTACAATATGTAATATAACAAGTCTACATTTATACAAACAAGCGTAAAATAAGCCAACAACGAACCAAAAACAAAAATATAAAATAGCGGGTTAATAACTTACAATTAACCCGCTATTTTTTGTTTGTTTTCACCTATTAGCATTACTATTACTACTATATAATGCAAATAGGTTTCAGCTCCAAATCCACATTTCATAAATAGTTTTTTAATTTCGTTCTTTCAACTATTTTTAATACCGCAATTATAAACTAACCTGAACAGCTCTATCGATATTGTCACGGAATGGAAAGAAGGCGTCTGAAGCTAGCGCGACCTTGTCCAACTTTTTGGTCCATTCATCTCGCTCTTCTTGTGTTAGCAGCGCGGGCGGTTTGTCCTCGAAAAGACTGTTCCATTGTTCAAACGGTAAATCGCTGCCTATAATGTACGTACGTAAATGTTATTATAATTAGTTTGCTTCAATTTTTTTACAAGGATAAAATAGTGATATCAGTGGCTATATACTTATGAACTATATTCTAGTTCATATGGATGTACATCTTATTATTGGTATATTATTTTCTAATGGAACCATTATAGTACTAGCTTAATTTTTCTTATCCTCTGAAAAGTTAAGAGTTTACCCACACAAAGTTTACTGACTGGTCCAGAGTTGGCCACTTTATAGTTATGCCATTTGTAGGTCGTATATCTATGATGCAGTTGACGTAGGTGTCGTCGGCAGCCAGCACGTGCGGGTGTAGTGTGTGATGTAGTGTGCGGTGTAGTGTGTGGTGTAGTGTGTGGTGTAGTGTGCGGTGCGTACCTACGGTGCCGTTGACGTAGTTGTCGACGGCGTTGGCGAGCACGGCGCGCGTGGTGCCGGCGCGGGCGGCGGCGGCGGCGGCCAGCACGCGCGGGTGTAGTGTGTTATGTAGTGTGTGGTGTAGTGTGCGGTGTAGTATGCGGTGTAGTGTGCGGTGTAGTGTGCGGTGCGTACCTACGGTGCCGTTGACGTAGTTGTCGACGGCGTTGGCGAACAGGCGCGCGTGGTGCCGGCGCGGGCGGCGGCGGCGGCGGCCTGCACGCGCGGGTGTAGTGTGTGATGTAGTGTGTGGTGTAGTGTGCGGTGTAGTGTGCGGTGTAGTGTGCGGTGCGTACCTACGGTGCCGTTGACGTAGTTGTCGACGGCGTTGGCGAGCACGGCGCGCGTGGTGCCGGCGCGGGCGGCGGCGGCGGCGGCCTGCACGCGCGGGTGTAGTGTGTGATGTAGTGTGTGGTGTAGTGTGCGGTGTAGTGTGCGGTGTAGTGTGCGGTGCGTACCTACGGTGCCGTTGACGTAGTTGTCGACGGCGTTGGCGAGCACGGCGCGCGTGGTGCCGGCGCGGGCGGTGGCGGCGGCGGCCAGCACGCGCGGGTGTAGTGTGTGATGTAGTGTGTGGTGTAGTGTGCGGTGTAGTGTGCGGTGTAGTGTGCGGTGCGTACCTACGGTGCCGTTGACGTAGTTGTCGACGGCGTTGGCGAGCACGGCGCGCGTGGTGCCGGCGCGGGCGGCGGCGGCGGCGGCCAGCACGCGCGGGTGTCTGCGCGCCCACCACAGCGCGGCTTTGCCTCCAGCGAGCCGCGTGCAGTGGATGCGCGACTGCTGCCCGGCGCCGATGCCGATCACCTACACAACATACTTTTATTAATGTTTATCATATTAGTAATGTGTCGCTAGTAGTAAACTGAAAGGCGATATGGCGGTTATTTTGTCTGTCGAAATTCTTTATTAGTGTTAAAGGCAACACACATTGGTCGTAAACCTTCGTCTTGAGACACTGCGGAAATTTGGACGAAAAGATATATCGGAGCTTCCCGAACGCTGCCCATCCGAGTTGGATTCGACGATTGACCTCTTTCTCGAAATTGGATCTACCTAGCTGGATAGTTTGCCCTAAGTATACGTAGTGATCGATAATTTCGAGTGTAGAATCTCCGATTTTTACGGGAGCAGGTACGACATGGACGTTTGACATAATTTTCGTCTTGTCCATGTTCATTTTAAGACCTACTCCTTGTGAGACTCTGACTTGTGAGTTTCAATTTTGTTACAGCGCCATCTATTGGCGCTGCATGCAAACAATACTATTTTATGGATTATAATCTACTTTAACAATTAGACTGAGTTTGGTATACAAAAATATACAATAAAAATCTTAATAGAAAATACAATGTATAATTCATATCTATAAAATTATATGGGCAATAGGTCTTCCCACAAACATGACAAGTATGTTCTTTCTAAATTTTATTTTTCGTACTCTTTGTACAACACAATATGGCGACAAACACTTATGGCGTGTTATCGTTTTTATTAGATTTTTTGTATAGAGGGTAATTTATAAATGTTCATTGTAACAACTTTAACATACCTGCCCGTCTCTTGCGTAGCATACAGAGTTACTTTGCGTATATTTCAGGGCTATGGTCGCCACAATCAAATCTCTTACGGCGGTTTCTGACAAATTTTTGTTTTTTGTCACAATATTTTTGAACAAATCTGATGTGATTTTAGCATCATTGCGCCTTTGCTCCAGCGTGAGACCAAAGATAGTCTTCTGTTCCAGTAGAGTAGGGTCGTAATTTGGATCCATCTATAAAAAACAATCTTTAAAGCAGCATATCATTTTTTTTTACTAAGGTCGCCCACGCATGACGTCTCAAGTAGCAATAATCACCAACTGACCTTAGTAAACGGATAGTCATAATTACATTAAGCAATGTCGAGATTTATATACCTGCAGCACACAGTAGTTACCCCCCTTCTTCTTCTTGAGTAGAAGCAGTGCATCAGGCGCGTAGGAAGGGGCGATGACCCCGTCGGAGACCTCACGGGAGATGATGCGCGCAGTGGACGCGTCGCACTCATCCGAAAGCGCCACAAAGTCCCCGAACGAGCTCATGCGGTCAGCACCGCGTGCGCGCGCGTACGCCGCTGCTAAAGGACTCAGAGTGCTTGCTTCTGATGCGCTCACACAGCACACGCTTGCCTGTACAGGATACGAATATACATACCTATATAGGGTACTAATTGAGCCGTGCAACTTTTAAGAATTCCGCTTTTCCAACATTTATCATATCATTAATGGATCGCTTTTATTAGTCGTAGCGTGATGTTATTTAGCCAGTCTTTCTCGATAAATGAGCTATGCAACTAAACCAAAAAATATTATAATTGCATATTGCATTTGTCGCTGTTGAATTAATACAAAATTTGTCAGTAGATACAGATCCAAAAAAAAAGGATTGACTGCAATAAATATGATGTGTCTATATTAGAAAACTATCAGCAAATGGAATAGTTACAATTAATAGCACACTAATCAATGTTATAAACAGAAAATTTTGACTGCTTATTGTACAATATAATGGTCAAGACTATACTAACATAAAGATTGGTAACATAATATACACATATAGGTGGTGGTACCTGTGTTCTTATTTGAACAGAACAACGAACAAACATTCAATTCATCCATATAAATTTACAAAAATATAATACTGCTTTTAAAATGTTTGGTATCGCCAATTAACGTCAAAAAGAGGAACAAATAAAAATCTTGTGATCGCGCATATTCAGTTAGTAATTTATTCAAAATTAAATAAAATATCGCTACATAATTGCACCCCTTAGTTGTTTTAACTACAATTTATTATTATTTGAATAGTGTAATAGTATAAATAAGGTATGTCAACTAATTTATAGTTATATTAGAATTACTGAATGAAAACTAACTTACATCTTCACCTGTCAAGGGGACTCCTATAGCTGCACCCGCTGGTGAAACGTGTTTGAAGCTAGCAGCCGCGGGCAGTCCCAAAGCTTCCTTCAATTCACGTACCAATTGCCATGCGTTGAGGGCGTCACATAAGTTAATGAAACCAGGCGACCCATTCAATGTGGTCAGTGGCAGTTTATCACGGGTTGTGAAAACCTGAGCTGGTTTCTGATGTGGGTTCATTCCTGCATATAATTAGTAAAATTAAGGGTATTAACGACGAAAAAGAGTATTAATGACGAAAGGGCGAGTACATTAGATCTATGCAGATCGCAGTGCTACAGGTCTTAGCACCTGATAATAGCCCAAAGCCCCTCAATGAACTAAGGGTATTAAGGCATGAAAACTTGAGTCTTTAGTAATAGTTTGAGGTACTCCTCAAACATAAGGATGTTATGTTCGTGGTACTGTTTATGTATACAGGCAATGCTTGACATTTTCCATCAGATAGGCCATCACCTCATTACGTAATATGTATTGCATGAAGGTTTGTTAATAAGTTTGACAGTAAAATGCAACAAAGGATGTCCGATGAAACTTGGCTTTTAGTAACTTCAGTCACATAATTATTAGGTTACTATTAATATAATTTACCATATCTCAATGTCAGCTGTTGTTGTCCAGCGGAGTATTCTTTACGGAAGTAGTCAGTAATGGCCAGATCATATTCAGATGTGTGAGTGAAGGCTTTGAGTGCTAACCTTTTTCTAAAACATAAATAGTTATTTAATTTAAAAATGAAATATGTAATAATAATTAACTGTTAGGTATTCGGTGACCTCGCTAAGAATTACAAAGAGTAAATTAAAATAACTTTAAATTTACAATAACAATAAATGTCTGGAAACTGGCGTTACATTCTACTAGAAAATAGGTTGAGTGTTCAAATAGTAATAGCAAATTATGGTTAAAGAACCACATGTTCGTGTACCACCACATACCATCAGGTGAATACCACATACATATGTAAAATTCAGGTCTTTCGCCAATAAAAAAAACAAGTGGTATGACTGAGTACGCAACAGATAGAACTAACCTTGTATCAAGTGAGGTCTGGCGATTATTACTTTTGTTCAGTTCATTGATAATACTATCATAATCGCTAGGGTCACATACAACGGTCACTCTGTCATGGTTCTTAGCTGCGGCCCGCAACAGTGTGACGCCACCAATGTCAATGTTCTCAACTGCATCTGCCACTGTCACTCCAGATTTGGATACCGTTTCAACAAATGGGTATAGGTTGCAGACTACCACGCTTATCAGTTCAAACTTCTGACGCTTCAAGTCGGATTGGTCGGAATCAGTAAGTCTACATTAAACAAAAACATAAATTGTATTTAAAATCATATTATAATCAAATCTGTGTTATCATATTATAAAATATAATTGTGGGCAATGAACAATTACTTATACAGTGGACCCGCGGTAATCCGGCCCCCCTTGTAATCTGACATGGTCTATTATTTATTATTGAATATTTTTTTGACAATATACAGATATAACATGGAATCTTATTACTGGATCTGTAATTTGACGGATTACAAGATACTCTTTTGTAAAAAAATCCGGACTATAGGGGACCCTTAGGTTTATATATGTTTATGTTATATAGTGCGGCTAAGGCAATTTTTTTATTGGTGATGTGATGTAGCTATTAGTTTTAGGGTACAATGGGACTGGCATGAGTTTTGATACGAAAGTCCCTAAATATCCAAGAAATAAAAAAAAGAAACGGTTATATAAAAATAAATAACAATAATATGTATAATAAATATTATATGTATACCATATCTAAGTCAGAGCTATTAATAGATATTGCTATAATTACCTAGCTAGTATACCGGCGTGTACAGCCGGGTGCAATGACTTGACGCGGCCACCGAGCATCTCCGGTGCTCCAGTGATGTCCGACACATCCAGGACTTTGAGTCCTGCATTGCGGAGAGCGGTGGCAGTCCCACCAGTGCTTACAAGGGACAGTCCAATGTCTGACAGGCATTTTGCTAACGGTAACAGACCTGTTTTGTCTGATACACTAAGAAGAGCTGCAAAGTCATCAGAGAGGTATAATTATTATGCGTTTATTGAACATTATCAAATTTGAGATTACAGCTATATTACAATTTTCTCGGCACGATTTTTTTATGGCGCGCGTGTTTAATTTAGCAACAAAACATAAATTTGATAAAATATTCATAAGGAAATTCGTAATTTCGGATAAATTGTTACCTAAAAGAGGAAGGCCATAAATAAATGCTTACCCAATTTCCCATTTGCTGCCATGTCTGTTTTCGTTACCTTGTGCTAATCAACTGAGTATTAAACAATTATTTTATCAAGCTGTTGTAATACGATGGTTGACCTCCTGCAGGGGTTCTTGATAATGGATCTTCTGTAGACAAACAAGTATAGGGTTGGCGATTACATTTTCTAAATACCACATACATGGTCATACAATTAGGAATGAAAATGACAGAATAGTTTGCTCAAGTAGTCAAGTGTACCAGTAAATACAATGCCCGTTGAGGTCGTCGTCTATAATGAAAAAAAAATCTTCTGTGATAATAAAATATATTTATCAAATTTCTATCGACCGTCTTTGTGTCAACGACAGATGTCGTATTCGTCTCTAGTCAACCGTTCTAGTTAAGTCTTATAAGCACCCACCAAACAGTCGTGTCAAAGAGGCCGCAAGATGCAACACGTGATTTTCCTGCACTTTCCTATTATATATATTATTATTTATTATATATATTATTATAGCATATTTGAATTATTTATGCTATTATATTAGGAGGTAAGCATATCACAAATTAATTGGGTTTGTTAAAATGTTCACCTTCTCCAAAGTATTTGTAATGTATTCAATGAAAGACAGACGATCACGGAATGAGGTTTATTAATGGCCGATACAAAGAACTGTATGTGACGGTGTACAGAAAAAATATATTTATCTACTACCATCAATATTAATACATAACACTTTCCTCGCCTAATACTAGAACAATACGATAAATAAAAAGAAAGATCTGCTTATAAACACATAAATACAACCTTGTCACTGTATACTTAACTTAACTAGGTGTGAAAACATACCATGCATGCACAACTTTTTACGGGCATAATTCTTTTATAATAATTTAAATATTAGTGCACATACCTACACACTGATGACTCATGACAAATATGGCGGACATGTGCAATATTAAATAATTATATAAAATAAATGAAAGGTGGATATTATACAAAAACCGGTTGCATATAATACATATAGAACAATTATAAAGATGTACTTTTATTACAAATGACTTATTACGGCTTACTACACTGTGTAAAAGTTACTAATAAAAACTATAAAGTATAGGTACACTGAATAACAAACAATATAAAGTTATTCGTTATTTACGGGGTCTCAATTTCATGGCATAGGGAGTAGTGGGCTTAGTGACATTATTTATAACATTGTTTTTATCGTTTTGATTACCGATACGCTCTTTGCCATTGCCGTTGTCTGCCGACCGGGTATCCATACACGTCGCTGCCGACTGCGAACCTTGCGACTGATCGTCTGACCTAATGACCGGCTCGGGGTCCATTCCCGTCGCGAACGAATCGTTTCGACACTCGTTAGCGGTGTCTTCGTTTCCCTTCGTTACCTGCGGTCTCGACATGTCCGACGCTGCGCCTAAAGAATGTCGTGATTTTCTTAAAGGTTGTTTATTTATGATCTGATCTATATGTCTCCTGATAGGACGATCGTTGTTGTTCGTTTTGACTACATATGACACCGGGCCCGTTCGCTCCGTAACCACCCCCTCCTTCCACTTGACGCTCGGCGTGGAGTAGTCCCTGACGTAGACGGCGTCGCCGGGGCTGGCTTCCCGCGCGGTGCCGCCGCGGCGTTCCTGTTGTGCGTGCTGCGCGGCGCGCACGAGGGCGCCCGTGTCGGGGCGCAGCAAGTCCAGGCGGCCGCGTAACCTGCGCCCGAAGAGCGCCACCGACGGCTCCTTTTTTGTGGTACAGTGTTCGGTATTTCTGTATGTAAATAGAAATTCAGACAATGCCCTGTCATAATCTTTGTTTTCTACTGTCGCTTTTTTGAGCACTCTCTTAACCGAACGAACCGCATTTTCTGCCGCTCCATTGCTGGATGGGTGATATGGCGCTACTAGAATACGTTTGATACCGTTTTTTTGTAGATAATTTAGGTACTCCGCAGAAGAAAACGGGGGGCCGTTGTCACTGACCAAGCATTTTGGTATTCCGAAGCGTGCAAATAGTCTTCTCAAAACTGATATTACTACTGGTGCGGAAGTAGTCGTTACCTTTTCTACTTCGATCCACTTGGAGTGAGCATCTACTATGACTAAGTAGTGACTGTTACGATATGGACCTAAGAAATCCAGATTAAGACGAACCCACGGTTGATCAGGCCAGTTCCAACAATGCAAAGGAGCTGCCGGCGGCGCGTCGCGGTGTGCGGCACAAGCGGCACAGTCGCGACAGGTGCTTTCTATGTGAGCATCTATTCCATCCCACCATAAGTAATTACGTGATAATTGTTTCATTTTAACTACGCCTATATGCCCGCTGTGCAACTCTTGTAACATCTGTGATTGGAGAGTGACTGGTATCACTACCCGATAACCCCAAACGAGACAATCGTGTTCGACAAATAAATTTTCTTTACGATTAAAATATGGTTTTTCGTTTTCATTTTGTAGTCGATCTGGCCACCCGAATTTAATATAACCGATTATTTTGTTTAACAAAAAATCCTTTTTTGTTGCCTCTTTTATTTCATGAAAAGTAATAGGTAATTGATCTTCAATAAAATAAAAGTAACAATTATTCTTTTGATTATTAATTTGTGAACTATGTTTTTCTTTTATCAATTTTAATGGCAATCTTGACAAACAGTCAGCAAAAATATTTTTTGTAGAAGTCACAAATTCTATATTAAAGTTGTAAGCGGCAAGCTTTACCGCATACCTCTGTAATCGGCTAGCGGCCGTTTGTGGAATACCCTTATTTTTTCCGAAAATATAACTTAACGCCTTATGATCACTACGTAATATAAAATGTCTTCCGTAAAGATACTGATGATGTTTAGTGACTCCGAACACGATAGCGAGGGCTTCTTTATCTAGCTGTGAGTAATTAGATTCGGCCGCATTGAGCGTACGCGATGCACAGCTGACTAACCGCTCCGAGCCGTCCGCGAAGCGGTGAGTAAGCACGGCGCCCAGTCCATACGCGCTGCTGTCTACAGACAATATCAATGGCAAACGAGCGTCGTAATGCGCTAATACCGGTGCTTTGCACAGTTTTTGTTTTATATTTTCGAATGCGCGCTCACACTCCCTAGTCCAATTCCATTTTACGTTTTTTTTTAATAGATTATAGAGGGGATTCAGAGTTTGACTAATATTTATACAAAATTTAGAATAAAAATTAACGAGCCCCAAAAAACTTTTCAATTGCGTTACATTTGTAGGGGTGGGGGCGGTCACAATAGATTCCACTTTTTTGTTATCTGTGTGTAGCCCGTTTTTATCGATTTTATACCCAAGATATGTCACACTATTTTTAAAAAATTCACATTTTGATAGATTAACTCGTAATCCCGCGTCTCTTAAACACAATAAGACAGCTTTTAAGTTTTTTAAATGGTCATTTTTATCTTTACCCGTCACGCAAATATCATCTTGAAAGACAACCGTACACGGCAAGCCACACAACGTTTCCTCCATCGATTTTTGAAAATTTTCGGGTATACATTTAATACCAAATGGAACGCGTTTATATACAAATGTCCCTATGTGTGTGGTGATAGCCGTCATCGGCTGTGAGTCTTCTGTAAGTACCATTTGCTGATAGGCATGGGACAAATCCAATTTTGTAAACTGTTCACCCCCTGCCAGTGTAGCAAATATGTCTTCTATGCGAGGCAATGGATAATGAAAGTCTTTAATTAAAGGATTGATTGTAATTTTATAATCTCCGCATATACGGATGTTACCGTTTTTTTTTATAACCGGTACGATCGGTGTACCGTAATCCGATCGGTCCACTTTATAAATAACCCCTTCATGTAACAACCGCTTAAGTTCGTTTTCGACCGGCGTCCTCAAAGCGAGTGGAAGGGGGCGCGCCTTAACAAAAACTGGCGTTTTATCACTTAGTTGTAAATTAATTAGCGTTTTAAATGTCCCAAGACCATCAGCAAATACGTCAGAGAATTCTTTATGTAAACTATTGACTAAAGTCTCCTCAGCTATGTGAAAACATTGTACAACATTTTGCAATTGTAAACAACGGAGCCAGGTACGACCCATTAAAGGCGGGCCTCCGTTTTCAATAATATATAATTCAAGTAGTTCAGTCTTAGAGTCAAAAGTTACCTCGACCGGTATATAGCCCATAGGTTGTATTATATTACCTACGTATGACTTTAAACGTAAAGCTTTTTTATGAATAGGAATGTGAGAAAATAATTCATTATAATTATTTTTTGATATTACAGAGATTTTACTGCCCGTGTCTATTTCAAACTTGACTGTTATATCATTAATCTTTAAATCAATGTAATAAGGACTGTCATTATTGCTACAAATTATATTATAAAAATCTAGTTCGCTGTCACCTGAATCATCTAAAAAATGTTGCTCCTTAATTTCCTTTGGGTCACTTCCGTCACTTTTACGCGTATTTTTACGGCACACCACTTTTAAATGTCCTTTTTGACCGCACTGATCACAAGAATAATTTTTGTAACGACATCTCGCTGCTGAATGACCGTTGCGGCCGCAACGCCAGCATCGGGCTGCCTGATGTACTACCGCTGGCTGCCCCGATGCCGGCGACACCGCGCTGCGCCGCTCTCGTCTCGCCGCTATGCTGTGCAGTGACTCAGCTGCGCCTCTGCTTTCGCCGCCGCCGGACCCCGCCTGTATAGCGTGCCTGTCCGCTGCCTCCAGAGAAAGCGCCAGTTCCACGGCGCGATTGTAACTTAAATCCTTTTCGGCAAACAGCCTGGACCTCATGTCCTCATTGTAAAGACCAGATACGAATTGATCCCGCAAGTTAACCTCCAGTGGGTTCATAACGGTCTCCGTGAAATTGCAAGTTTTAGCCAGACGCTTTAAATTTTGCAAATAATCACACACTGTCTCATCTTGCTTTTGCTTTCTTTGCCGAAAGATATGTCGTTCCGCAATCTCCGACCGCTGTGGTTCTAAGTGTTTTCTCACTACTCTCACCAATTCATCGAAACTTTTGTTTTCCGGTAGTTCCGGTGCGCAGAGATCGCACATTAACTCGTAACAGGTTACACCCACGTGGGTCACCAAAGTAGCCACATGTAGATTCACTGGTATACTATTTAGGGTTATAAACTGTTTCACACGACGACAATATGCATCCCAGTTATGAACACCAATTTCAAAAGTCTCAATTTTTCCTATCGGCATTTTGAATGTAAAATAAACGTATGGTTATTAAAAATACCCGACTGCGCCAATGTAATGTATTCAATGAAAGACAGACGATCACGGAATGAGGTTTATTAATGGCCGATACAAAGAACTGTATGTGACGGTGTACAGAAAAAATATATTTATCTACTACCATCAATATTAATACATAACAGTATTCATCAAAAAAGTCAACTAGACTAGATATGAATTACTTGCAGGTATGAACTTCCAGCAGAACAGGGATGAATGGAAGCGAAAAACATATTATGCCGACCCCAAATAATTGGGATAAGGAAGATGATGATGAACTTCCAGCAGAATTTGTAAGTATCAGTATTCTTATACAAAAAACCTAACTACTAGTTTCTTTTTTATTAATACTATTTAAATCCTAATAAGATCTTATTAGTACTTATTAATAAAATAGAATATGTTAGGTTTTCTTGAAAAAATATATTTTGACAACCCTTGCAACAATACGTCAATACAAATATGATGAAAATAATATTATTGTTGGCCAGGCTACAATCAATAGTATAAATAATATTCTACAAATAAACAACATGTTAATGTAACATACCAAAACCATACATGGTGTTTTTTTTAATTGGTGATAATAGAATGGTTTATTCGCCTGCACTAATGGTTTACACTAGGCAGAGCTAACTGACTTGACCTCATGCTGGTCATGTCATCTACCACTGTTAGCCCATGGTCATCAACATGAATTTACCACAATGATTTCCAGTTGGTTAATTAGACTTATAGGTTTAGAATTTTTCCTGTCTGTGGTAGTGATAATGGTATTTTTTGTGTGCCTATCCCAGAGTATGTAGAACCATAACATAATTAAGCATACTTCATTAAGGTAACAAGTGGTCCAAGAGTTAGTTTAGAAATTAGTATGGTAGTTCAAAGCAAAAATGGAAAATAATTACTATTATAAAATAATATTATTATAATGGTAAATATTATCTATGACATTTACACCTTATTACATAATTACAATAATAATAACCCTGGAATATTCACAAAGCGCCAGCTAATACTCACATACTCAGACATAGATATACTTATATTTTTTGTAAATATATAGAAAACTCCCATAACTAAACTGTAATTGTTTGTACAGTGTGAGGAATCAAACCTCTTGACCATTGGAAGTAAAGTGGTGTAGCAACTGATAGATCTTTTAGCCTCTATAGTAGCATTTCCCAACATGGGTACCACATCCCTCAAAGGGGCAATTTGATTTTAAAGGGGGACAATTCGAAAATGGACTCAGCCATGAATTTAATGCAATACTAGATTTCGGTGCCAAATTTAAGGAAAAAATCCAAATTCCTAAATGACTGTTTTATTACTAAATCAAAATAACAAATTAATATAGAAATGCAGTTTTTAATCTATAAAAATGCTGCTTGCATTTCATGTTTTATTTTCTAAGGTTTTTCAAGAAGCATAGATTGAGATATCTTAAAGGTTTGTAACATACATGATACCACAGGTGTTTCATGTGTCCATTGGCTACAGTAACCATTTACTATCAGTTGGGCCCTATGCTTGTTTGCCATCTCATACTATAAAAAAACCTCCACCCTCCTGTCACTGATGCCCCACCAGCATATGCTGTTAGCACAAGTGATTGCGCTGTTCTATTATTATCTATATGAAAATGTCTATTCATAGTGCCTACTTAGTACTTTGGTTTAGACATTATGAAGAACTGGCTCTCACATTCCGCTACATAATAAATACCAGTACATGTATTGTTTTTGTTTTTATTCATTCTATAATTTGTATTTACTGTCAATGTTGGATGTATTCACATTTTAATACACCTATCAAGTCAAATTAAATTAAGAGTTTATAACAAATTCTACATACAAATAATATTCTATAAAATGATAACATTATGGTAAGTACATAGTTATGTAAACAGTCGTTTATATTAATTTAATTTTTGTCATATTTGAACGATGTATCCCTTTCTAGTTCATCCATGTAATCATATTTGATAATTTTATATTTTGAATTTTTTCTATTTATTTTTATAGGATTTTTTAAACCACACAGTTCTAAATTTCTTAGTACGCCAAATAACTAATTGTTTTACTTACCGCTATTACAAGTATTAATATGTAACAATCCAATAATAAACGAAAGTATTGACAATTTTTTTCTAATATAACATAAACAACGTACATGTGTTATGATAACCGAAATAAAGTTATTTAAGGTTAGTTTTATCAGGAACCGGCAGTCAGTGTTACCAGTATCACAAGATCACAATAAAAGAAATCGCACGTATTCGTTACTACGTACGTCATTTTATGAATTGAAATGCTGCAAGGATTTCTTTCTAGGTGGAAGGGACAGTGAGAAATCCATCATGATGGTGGAAAAGTATATGGATGGTAATGGAATTATATATATAATTTTAGAGCCAGTGCACTATGAAATTATGATCTACTAAAAAAAGTTTGCTTCGCACAGTTTCTTTTAGTTCTGTATTTACATTACTCGCTTGATACGGTGCATAAATTTATGAATATTATTTTTGAGGGGAAAAACAGAAGTGTCAATACACAGTTATATCAAACAAAATAAAGAAAAAATTGGAGTCATATCAACTCCTAAAGAGGATAATAGCAAATCGTGGGAAGTTGCAAGAGTTCCACCGACAAGATTATGGCTCTTAAGTTATTAATATATTAATATTTATATTGACGGATATTGATACTTAGATAATTAGACATTTTCACTTTTCCAACTTATGGGTAATATTTTCATAAAAACATTATAATTTTTATTTTTCTATGAAATCAATGTACATATATTATATTGGCAGTCACAAACTTATAACAATATCTATTGCAAATATAACTACAAATAATGTTTTAGGTGTTTATTACTTATAAGAAAAATTGCACCTGAATATATAATATTTGACTTATATGTTTTTCATGTTACTTAGAATTTAGAATAAGCATATGTCACAATATTGTTATAATTTAACATACTTATGTTACGATACTTTGGGGACTATTTGAAGTCTTATTATTAGATATTAGAGAGATTATGGGCAAAATTTGGGAGGGAAAGCAAGGCAGTAATCAGGCAACACGCATTTCTGTTTTCTTTTTGTCACAAGTTTCTGAACCTGTTTTAATTGAAAATACTGAATAAAAGTAACAATAATTATGCTTAAATTATAGTTATATATTGTTATTTACATTTATTGTTTTAAAGTTGTTTAGTTTTATATTATACCATAATTTTGTTATATGAATATTGTTACAACATATCTTTGAGGTTATGTCTCAGTCTGCAGTAAAACCACCAGGTAAAAGCTGGCGTGAAATAAATCAAGAAAGAAAAGCGTTGAAACGCCATCGTAATGAGGAGAAAATTATTAAACGTGAGAAGAAATTGGCTTTAGAAAAGGAAACAGAGTTAAAGTGTAAAGAGGAAACTGACAAGGAAAAGAAGTATTCAGAAATTTCAACAATCAGCATAGCTGTACCAGGGTCTATACTTGAAAATGCTCAGTCAGCCGAGCTGCGAACTTATTTGGCTGGTCAGATTGCCCGAGCCGCTTGTGTGTTTTGTGTTGATGAAGTAATTGTTTATGATGATATTGGTGACAAGCTTGATACTAAAAAGTCTAAACTGGAAGATGTGGATGGCGTAAAAGTAGCTCGTAAGAGTTGTGTACAATTAGCACGTATTCTACAATATCTGGAATGTCCACAATACTTAAGGAAACACTTTTTCCCATTACACAAAGATTTAGAATTTGCAGGCCTTTTAAATCCGTTAGATGCACCTCATCATTTAAGAATGTCAAATGATTTTAAATTTAGGTAAGCATGAGTTCCTTTTGTTCCATCTATGTATTAAAAATTATATTTGCATTACAAAACCTGTTCTGTCGTGGATGGTGGCACATGTAGAAAGTATGCTGCTACAAGTTCTAATATAATAAATATTTGAATAATAGAAAATATGCTGATTATATCTATATACCATAATAAATTGTTTTTTATTTATTTGGTATAACAATCCAGTCAATAAAAAAAATATTTGTTTTAGAGAAGGAATTACCATGAACAAAAAGGTAAAGCCAGGCAGAGGGTCACAAGTCAATGTTGGGTTACTTCAGGATGTCTCTACTGATAAATTATTGAATGCTGGTATTAGAGTTACTGTAAGAATGTTACCTACAGCAGAAGGAAGTAAGAAAGTTAAGGGCAAAATAGTCAGTCTTACAACACCAAGAGCCGAGACTGGGGTCTACTGGGGTTATACAGTCAGGATTGCAAGTTGTTTAGGACAAGTGTTTACACAGTCACCATATAAAGATGGGTAAGTTGTGTTGATTATTTTAGTCATTGGAGTCAATATAGAAGGGAGGGAGGGAGGGTAAACTTTTAACATAAATACATTACACCAATATTCTAAACAAAGAAATTCCTTTTTATAAGGCAAAATATGATACTAATGTAATTATGCAAACTACTGTGCACATCTAATATTTCTTGAGTAAATAAACAAAACAACTCTTACTTGTTATGGCCAACACATTATGTTTGTAAATAGCATATCAATAAATGAGGTACCAATTGTAAATTCTATGGAACTTAACTAATATAAAATTATGTATTTTAGTAAAACATAAATAATTTTCAGGTATGATCTAACTATTGGTACTTCAGATAAAGGAACAGATATAGATGATCTACCTACCAATGACTTGAGTTATAATCATGCTTTGGTAGTTTTCGGTGGTTTACATGGTATTGAAGCTGCATTGGAAAGTGATGAGCAGTTGCAAGTAGATGAAGCCCATTTACTCTTCAACCATTACATTAATGTACTACCTAACCAAGGATCTAGAACAATTAGGACAGAAGAAGCTGTACTTGTAGCTCTGTCTGGTTTAAGAACTAAACTTAAAGCTAATAATAAACCTATGGTTTTTAATGAAACTGGTATTGCTAGCAGTTCAACATTTCCATTATCAAAATCTGATAATACAAATAACTGTGTAGACATAGGGATAGATTTAAGTAAATTTGATTAAAGTATATTTAAGAAAATATATTTTTATTGCTCAATTTTCCTTATAGTTATTGTTTTGGAAGACAATATTACAATTATGTATGCAACAAACATAAATGTGTATAGAAATCCAAATTAGCACTTGTTATAATTTTATGATGGCTTGTTGTACAGTGTCCCGTAATAACTTTATAGTAGCAGCTTGATTTTCAGCACCTGTGACTGCTGTTCCTGATACTATCATATTAGCACCAGCCTGCAAATGAAATGAAATTTTTAACATTGCAATTACAATTGTAATGTAACTGAAGTTAATGTAATTATTGTAGTGTAGCTCTGGACATCTTTTATAGAGACTAGAAGAAAATATATTATTATGACCTTAAAATTATTATCTATTATGTAGATTAATATCTTATTGTAGAATAAACTTTAATTATTAGGCATCTAGCTTGAATCACATGCCACATAGCATTTTGTGAATAATATTATTTAGAAACAATTTATGTTTTCAATAAAATACAATGCAATAATACATATATTAATTTAAATAGTGAAAGGTCTTAATGGTTTAAGTATGTTTCTGGTAATCAAAGCATTACTTAAGGGCAACTTTATAATTTTATATTTGAATCATATGTATAATATTGATAATACTTACAGTGGCACAACAACCTATAGTTGATGGTCCAACTCCACCATCAACCTCAATATTTAACAAAGGATAGTGATCTCTCAAATGCTTTACTTTTGCCATTTGGTCTTCCATGAATTTCTGGCCTCCAAACCCTGGTTCCACAGTCATAATCAGTACCATATCTGATATATTTACATACTTCTCTACTTCAGCAACTGGTGTACCAGGTTTTATTGCTAATCCAACCTATAAATGAAATGAATATAGGATATTTTCTTGGATAAGTTGAAAATTAGTGGATAATTCACTTTTTTTTTTTTATATAATTCAATATAAGCACATATAAATTTAGATGGAGATAATTGATTGGTACCTTCATTCCATGTTCTTTGATTTTTCTACATATATCTTCAACATTATTCACTGGTTCAATATGGAATGTGTATTGATTAACACCAGCATCTGCCATTGGAATAATCCACTAAAACAAAAAATATTTATGATTTTTGAAACTTATAAGTACATACTCTAAACAAAATATAAAAGTAAAAACGAATTGTGAAGTAATGTAATAAACAAATAACTGAATGTATATGATTAGCTTCAGTGATTGGAAGATACATCTGAGCTTTCTCCACTCGTTAAACTGTTATAAAAAATAAATCTGTTGAAACATATTATATTATTTATGTTTATAAAACTCAATAAGTACTGGACATTCATCTAAGTGGTGTATACTCTAAATATACATTGGAACACTGGTCTGAAGTTATGACAAAGATGATAATAATTTCTTGGGACTGAACATTGAAAGTATAAAAACCTGTTCTGTGCACACTATGATTTTGCAATATATATTTACAAAACATACTTATTTAACGCTATATTTGTAGCCGAAAAATTGAGATCACATGGCTTTGTTATGGTTTATAGGTTAAAAATTTACAAGGTTGATTCAAGGACATAAATTCACAAAGTAAATATAGTATACCTGTTCTGGTTTAGAAACCATCATGTGAGTTTCAAAAAAAGCATCTTTAATTTTAGACCGGAGGCATTTTACCACGGGATGGCCGAAAGTTAAGTTTGGTACAAAATGCCCATCCATTACGTCTAAATGTAAATAATCTGCACCATTGTCAAGTAATTTTTGAGATTCTTCGTATAATTTGGATAAATCTGAATTGAGAATAGAAGGACCTATAAGTGCCCGAAGATGAGACATGGTAAAATTTAATGAAAGTTTACTAAAAACTTTTCAACCAAAACAGTATAAAACAAGGTACTTTGTTTTAAATGCTCATTAGTAAAAATAAGTATTATAAATATCGAAAACACAAATTCAGTAATATTACTGAAATAGTAATATAATATAAATGAAATTCTAATTAAGATCGGTACCAATAATAATGAATTATAATGGTTTTAGTTTGATTCAAAAAGATTTGGTTTGAATTTCTTCTTGAATAGAATTTTTTTTTTTTACTTCTTTATGGCTTGGCACGTCTGTGCATTTGCCAATATACAAAATTTGGGAAACAGTAGTTCAGGTAAAGGAAATTTTGGACGATAGGTTTAAAGGATCAGGTAAGTTGACAATAGGATTAATTATAAGGATTAGACTAAGGTACTACACTATACATATTAATTATATACAATATGTCATTATACTTATATAAGACCTTAATATATTAACAGACAACTATTTACATATGATATATTTATATAGAGGCAGTCAGTTTTATATTTACAATTTTATATTATTACTACTTAGAAAAATCGAAATACTTTTATACACATCAATATCATTAAGATATAATAAAATTGGAATTGATGTAGGTAAAGGAATTCGGTGAGATAGGAGATTATTAAAAAGGTAGGAATGATCATACAGAGGACAACTGAAAATGATATGGTTCAAGTCACCCACTTCTGTACCACAGCTACATATATCATTATCTACAATTTTTAGCTTAGCTAGATGTGCAGGAGAGCATACATGCCCCAATCTCATTCTAATTATTGACGTAGTCTCGCTTTTGTTCAAATTAATTTTGAAGAACCAAGGTTTAAACTGAATAGTTGGTTGAATGTTAAAATAATGTCGTGCCTTATTCTGGCAGCTATTAGGCCAAAATTCACTCCAAGCATTATGTAGATATAATCCTGGGAGAGCAGCCAGATCATGACAATAATTTTTATATGGAACAATATCACCGCATCCAATTGCCTCGTTCGCTAAGCGATCTGCTATCTCATTCCCATGTATGCCAGTATGTCCTGGAATCCACGTAAGCGAGACAGAGAACCCCCTCGAGTTACATAACTGCAGCAATTTTCTGATTTCTATGATAATAGGATAATTAATATTTGATTTAAATGGAAATTTTTGAAGAGCTAACAGTGCACTTCTGGAATCAGTACACACTATTGTTTGCTGAAGTTTCATAATTAATATATATTCGAGAGCTTTGTAAATACCAAAACATTCACCAGTAAATACAGATGTTTCTGGAGGAAGTTTTATTTTTTGGACTATTTTATATTTTGAATGGTAAACTCCGATCCCAACACATCCAGTTGGATGATGTTTAGATGCATCACAAAAAATTCAGTGCCAATTCCGCCATTTCTTGTCTACAGTTGAGTTAAATTCTATATTTGAGTTGTGATTTTTATGAATATTAAGGTCAAAAATTATACTTGGTTCAAGAATTAATGATTCATAATTCGTACAGAAGATGGGAAAATATTGTGAACGATGAGTAGGAGATGTAAGAGATGAAAATTTCTGGAAACTCTTTATAATACAAGGAATAGATTTATGGCGCCAGTATTCAGAATTATTAATATAATTAGATAATAATTTTAATTTACTAAATAGGGGATGAGTTGTACATTGTGCACTGCGAAATAAAAATTTATCAGAAAGATATTGACGTTTTAAATACAATGGCGGATCTGAGCATTCCACTTGCAATGCATTTATAGGGCTTGATCGCATAGCCCTAGTTACAATTCGTAAAGCCTTTGTTTATATGCCATCCAGTTTTTTAAGACCAGCTGAGCTACCCGGCTCTAGTAGAAATGTGCCGTAATCCAATATACTTCTAATAATGGCGTTATATAACAGTTTGAGTGAACACGGATGAGCGCCCCACCAAGTTCAAGACAAACATCGAAGAATATTTAATAATCGTTCACATCTTAAAGTAATGTATTCGCAATGGGGAAGTCCACTTAGTTTTGAATCTAGTATTACTCCTAAAAATTTGCTTTGACTTTTTACAGGTAAAAGACAATTATTATAATATATAGAAATAGGAGGAGGCATACGCATTCTGGAGAACAAAACTGCATTGCTTTTGTTAAGTGACAACTGCAATGCATTCTGATCAAACCAAAGCTTTAGATATTTTAATGCAGATGTCAAATTCAAACAGCATTTTTGAACAGATTTGTCTATGGCATAAAAAAGCAGATCGTCTGCATATTGTAAAATAAAAATATTATTATTCATATTACTTAAAACAGCCTTTTCTAAATCATAAGTGTATAGGTTGTATAATAAGGGGCTAAGAACTGAACCTTGTGGGAGTCCTTTCCATACTACTCTAGATGAGATTCCAGTGTCATCAGAATTTATAATAATAGTTCTTTCAGTAAGAATATTAATTATAAAAGTTGACAGTCTAACTGGAATATGTAATATATCAAGTTTCTGCTTAAGTATTGGCAAAGAAACATTATCATAAGCAGATTCTATGTCTAAAAAGGTTGCAAGTACAGAGTCATTTCTGGAAAAGGCTAAACGAATATCCGTTATAAACAAACTTAAACTATGAAGAGTACATTTCCCTCTTCTAAAGCCATATTGACTATCTGATAAATAGTGGTTACTTTCAATATACCATTCCAGACGGTTTTTGATCAGATGTTCTGACAGTTTAAGCAGAACTGAAGATAGCGCTAAAGGACGGTAGGAAGCAATGTCAGCTGGAGTTTTGTCAGGTTTTAGAATGGGGATTATATTTTGAGTCTTCCATAAAGCAGGAATATTACCAGATATCATAATTGAGTTAATGATATCTAAGAAATAGGAGAGAGATGTACTATCTAAGTGTGAAATAAAAGAATATGGTATTCCATCTTCTCCAGGTGCAGAATCTTTAACTTTTGTAAGTACTCCCTTAAGCTCTGGTAACGAAAATGGAGCATTTAATTTAGAGAAATTATCTATATCAGAGGTAATTACAACTTTATCCAACAAAACTTTTTCAGGAACTGAGGGAGGGGCTAACTTGTCTAGGAAACATTCAACCATATGAGGAGGAAGTACATTTGATTTAGAATCGTGAAATGCACTTCTAAATCTTCTTATATTATTCCAGACTATAGATGCATTCACATTGGGAGAAATAGATGAACAGAATTTCTTCCAACCTGTTAATTTCTTATCCCTTACCAATTTACGGGTAGTTCTGGATATATTACAGAAGATATCAAAGTTTTCCAATGTAGAGTGTAAATTGTATTGTTTTTCAGCATTTTTTCTTTTCCTAATAGCTTCAGTACATTCACTGTCCCACCATGGTGGTTTTTTTTTTTTTTATACCACTTAGGTGGCAAACAAGCATACGGCCCATCTGATGGTAAACGGCTACCGTAGCCTATGGACGCCTGAAACACCAGGGGTGTCACATGCGCGTTGCCGACCCTTAAGAAACCTTAATATACCCTTCTTGAAAACCCCCATGCTGTAGTCTCTCGAGAAAACCTCGGCAGGTAGTTCATTCCACAATCTAAGTGTACGCGGGAGGAAGCTCCTCTGAAACCGCACTGTACGAGACCACTTAGGTTCCAGCGTGTGGGGATGAATTCCCTGTCGATGGCGAGCGGTGCGATGGTAAAAGGTAGCCGTAGGCATCATGTCAAACAATTCATCAGAACACAGTCCATTGTATATTCGGTAGAACACACAAAGCGATGCGAAGTCTCGCCTCAAGCTAAGTGGTTCGATACCGTTAGAGAGATTGGGATCATCGACAATTCTCATAGCACGTCTCTGAACCGAGTCAAAAGGACCGAGCTGGTATCCAGGTGCTCCTGCCCAAAGATGAGAGCAGTACTCCATGTGCGGCCGAACTTGCGACTTATACAATAGAAGTCTCTGGTTCGCAGTGAAGTACCGCCTCGCTCTATTCAGCACACCGAGCTTCTTGGACGCCAGCTTGACCTTTTCTTCGAGATGACTACGGAACTCAACTGTGCTAGAGATGTCGACACCGAGAATCCCAATGCTCTTAGAGATGGTAATGGACGTGTTCTGGAATTGCGGAGCCACAGCAAAAGGGGTTTTCTTAGCGGTGAACGCGCAGGCTTGTGTCTTGGTAGGGTTGAATTGAACTAAGTTCAATCGCCCCCAATCGGAGACTCTGGTGAGAGTACTCTCGATTTCAGACACAAGCTGTTCGCGCTTTGACTCCACAACGGAAAGAGGGATGTTCGCACGGCCCGTGTAAGACGCGTCCCCAGTACTGTCATCCGCATAGCAATGAATGTCAACCGTAGTTAACAAATCATTAATATGCAGCAAAAACAGTGTCGGGGAGAGAACAGAGCCTTGCGGGACGCCAGCGTTAATGTCCATGCTATTGGAGCAACTACCGTCGACCACGGTTTTGATGCATCTGCCAGACAAAAAACTAGCGACCCATTTGCATAATCCCTCTGGTATTCCGTATGAGGGCAATTTCGATAGGAGACCTTGATGCCAAACCCGATCGAATGCCTTCGCCATATCAAGGCTGACTGCCAACGCCTCACCCTTGCTCTCGATGGCAAGAGCCCAGCGGTGTGTGAGATACACTAAAAGATCACCAGTTGAGCGATTATGGCGAAAGCCATATTGACGATCGCTCAATAAATCGTAATCTTCTAGGTATCTGAGGAGCTGTGTATTAATTACACGCTCCATCACCTTGGAGAGCAAAGATGCGATAGCGATAGGCCTGTAGTTCGATGGGTTTGACCTGTCGCCCTTTTTTGGCACAGGGTGCACAAGGGTGGTCTTCCATGACGACGGAAATTGCCCAGAGGAGTATGAAAGCGCGAAGAGGCGCGTGAGTACGGGACACAACTCAGGAGCACACTTCTTTAGCACCAAAGCCGGTATGCCGTCTGGCCCGTTCGACTTGTTGACGTCGAGAGACAGCAACTCTCGCCGGACACTCAGTTGTGTTACGGATATTTCCGGCATAGAGTTACCACACCATGGGATGCTAGTAGGTATGGTGTTCCCAGCGTCTAAAGTCGAATTTGAGGCAAAAAGAGCGCACAACAAATCGGCCTTCTCTTTTGCACTATGTGCCAAGTTATCATCCGGCTTCCGTAGTGGTGGTAAGGACGACTGACTAAAATTACCTTCGGCAGCCTTAGCAAGGGACCAAAAGGCTCGACTTCCAGAAGGATGACGGGCTAATCGCTCCCCAATTTTGCTGACGAAGTCGAATTTGGCTCTAGCAATTACTCTTTTACTAAACCTGGACGCAGCATTTAAATTCCGCCTAGCATCAGATACGCCAACATCCCTGTTGGAACGAGCCGTGGTCCAAGCCTGATAAGCAGTTTCTTTAGCATGTCTGGCTTCTCTGCATGACCTATTAAACCACGGTCGCTTTTTCGCCCCTGAAGCAACAAGCAGATTTGGAATGAAACATTCCATACCCGCAAGTATGACTTCAGTAACGGCGGCTGTACAGGTATCGACGTCTTCTGATGCAAAGCAGTGCTGCTTCCATGGGTACGACGCGTAAAATTCTCGCAATCTGTCCCAATCTGCTGACTTATAATGCCACATGCGACGTCGACCAGGTGTTCGGTGTGTGGCAGGTTGTGTGCACTGTACTTGGGATCGAATAAGACAGTGATCCGAAGAACCAAGAGGCGCTTCCACGGTGACTGAATATTCGTCCGGACCTGTAGTCAGCAGAAGGTCCAGTAAGGAGCTCGTATGGGTCTCGATATCTGGTATTCTCGTTGGAGAATGAACCAGTTGTGAGAATCCATAGGCCAGGGCAAACTCGTGAGCAGTTCTCCCCGCATGGTCAGTGATTCGAGAACGGAGCCACTCGGTGTGATGGGCATTAAAGTCTCCAAGTATCACTAAATTCGCGGAGGGATATTGCTCGAGAACTTTATCAGACGTGATTTGAAGGTGCTCAAACAGACGAGTCGTGTCCTCGTCACCGCTATGAGACCTGTATAGGCATGCGTAGATACCGGTGTACTCACCCTGATCTACGCGTACCCATAGTACTGACAGGTCTTTTTTTTCTAGGCCAAGAAGGCGGTGACAACAAATATCCTCCCGGACATACAAACATACCCCAGCTCGACGCACAAATTTGTGCTCAAGTGTATACCCGGGATACGTAAGGTACGACGTATCAGCCGGACAGGATATCTGTGTCTCCGTAAGGAACAGAAGGGTCGGCTTGGCGGTCTCGAGATGATGGTGGACCGCATTGATGTTTCCGTGTAGTCCCCTGATGTTACAGAAATCCATATTAATAGTGGATAGGGGTGCCGCTGATTTAATGCGATTCCTTTTCTTTTTTCTGGCCATTTGGGTATTGTTTTTTTTAAGGTTGAAGGGGAATGATCGCGCCGGTATTAGAAAGGACAAAGTATGTGTCAATGTACCCCAGTATTGCACAGGTTTGGCAATTTGGTGGCACAGCGGCCGGAAGGGCCCCCGGTCCCCCCACTGGTGTAGCAGCCGGGTCCACTCCGGTCTCCTTCTCCGGCACGACTACTACACCAGGGATTATGCGCAGGCGGTGGTTCAGCCTCCCAGGGCGGAGATTAAGTAATCCCTGGGTTCGGGAACCCAACAACCTGCGGGCGGCCAGCGGTTAGCCGTTTCACCGGGTCTCCCTGAACGCTGCGCCACCACGTCGCGCCTATGCAATCCCGCGGCACTGTTGAACACACAGGTCCTCCAATACCAGCACAACCAGTCCCCACGGGGCTCTGGTCACCTTACACACCACAGGAACACAGTGCTGTCGCAAGTACAACACTATTTGGCTGTGGTTTTCTGCTTGGTGGAGGTACTACGCCAGTTCAGGCCGCCCCAAGTCGAGCAAGATGTATCAAAATACATCAAGCTGTGCCCTCCCTTCGTGGTGAAGGTATTGTATTCTTAGAAGAAGATTTTTTAGGAAAAACTTCATTAGCAGCCTGTATTAATACTTCAGTGAATGCATTAGAGCAAATGGTTTCAGTGCCTTGAGTAATAATAGGCAGTGATGAGATTTTAGATGCAATGACGTTATTGAAAGTATCCCAATCAGCATTATTTAGCTTATATTTCATCCTTGGTTCATATTTTGGTAGTGGTTTATCAATAAAAGGAAAAGAAATAATAAGAGGGAAATGATCACTTCCAAATGACAGTGACAAGGGGCACCAAGTAAGGGATGTTGCAAGAGTAGGTGAACAGATGGAAAGATCAGGAACACTATTTCCTTCATTAGGTGGAGTACGACGTGTAGGTTGGCCAGTATTTAATACACACAGGTTAAGGGTATCTAATATTTCTAAAACTTGGTGGCCATATGAATTGTTTGTTGTACTACCCCAGGACTGATGTTGTGAATTTAAATCTCCTAGTATTAATAAAGGTTTGGGAAGGGCAGAAAGAATATTATTAAGTTCATTAAAAATAGAAGTTGATGGATGAGGTATATATAAAGATACATAACAAATGTTGTTAACTTGGACAGCTAATATGGAAAAATTACTGCTATGATCAATAGGTATATGTGAATAAGGAACTAAATGTCGGACGAGTATAGCGACACCACCATACCCATCTGTCCTATCTTCTCTGAGACAAGCATAACCCGGTATCTTAAAAGTAGATATGGGTTTCAGCCATGTCTCCTGAAGGGCACAAATAAAAGGTTTATTTTTATTTAAAATATGAAATAATTCACTTTTTTTATTAATAATACTACAACAGTTCCACTGGAGAACTTTGGCCAATGGAGCCATTGTTGTTGAAGATTTGAAGAAGAGCACTAAATAGAGAAGCAGCGTTGGACGGTACAATAGAATTAGACTCAGTCAGCAATTTAATTAAAGCCATGATTAATTCTGTAAATTGATTTGGTAAATTCTGTTCAGCTACAGATTTATAACCGCAGCCATCTGCAGGAGTAGGAGGATTATAATCTTTTATTAATTGCTTATGCATGTTTACATCATAACCATGCGATAATTTTGGAGATTGACGGGGTTTTTGTACAATGGTTTTTTTATATGATCTATTGATTATATTAGAAGATAGAGTATTTTGGGGTTTAGTATTATTTAAATGTTCCGCAGTTATGATAGAAGAATTAGTTTTAACTGTGTCAGCATATGATTTTGTTACAGGACCATGCAATTTGCTGGCTTCTGCATAAGATATACAGCTTTTAGCCATAGTTTCTTTTATTGCTTTTTGTCTCCATAGTTCCGGGCAGTTTTTACTGTTAGCTTGATGATCACCAAGACATAGACAGCAGCAGAAGTCTTCTTGCTGCGTACAGTTTTCACCTGAATGTCCTTTACTACATTTATAGCACCGTGGTGTAGAACGGCATTGATCCTTAACATGACCATATCGACAACAGTTATAACATTGTATTGTTGGGTATATGTAAATATCTACAGGTAATGAGTTGTAACACATAAATACACGTTTAGGAAGTATTTGACCATCAAAAGTTATAATAACAGTTTAAAAAGTTATAACAACAGCGCATTGACAAGTGTTCTCTTGATTTTTAGAGTTTCCTTTAGAACCGCGATTTTTTCTTCGCTTTTTGTTACAGTGTTTACACACATGAGTAGCAGATATACGTTTTCGTTTAACTTTCAAATTCTCCACTAGGGTAAAAGAGCAATCAGTATCCGTGGAATCATTTTCATTATTGCTAATAGTTACGTGGAGGCCCCGTGGAGGTGTTACGCCCACCTGAGGGCCTGTGCCCCCAGGATCCTCAGGAGGGTCCATATATAAATTAAATAATTATGACTTACCTATGTTACAGCTACTATAATTACACTAATAAACAAATAAAATATATATAAAAGAGTGAAAATATCTACAATATCTAACTTAACTGATCACTTTTAAATTTTTATTTAAATCTTATCAAAAAAAACACGACCACCAAATTCTATGTTTCCCGCCTTTTATCCGAATAGAATTTTTAAATTACAGTAAACGAAACGTCACTGTCAATATTGAACTTGTCAAATTGTTAGTATGAACGGTGGAAGTACTGAGCATGTAATCACTAGGTCTAAATTAGACTGTAATGTTAAATGTAGTACTAGTAATTCATATTGAAATATTATGTATACATTTTACCACATTACGATATAGCTATTAAATACGTTTTCTAAGATAAAATGTGAAAAAAGAATAAATAATAATAATAACCATGAAAAATTTACACAGCGCCATCTAGTCCTAACCTAAGCCTGTGTTATGGGTACTAGAAAATTGATAAAAATACTTAAATATATAATATATACTTTGAAAACATCCAGAATAATTAATAGTAGTAAGTGCTTTAAGCCTATGTCACTATTAACGAATATTAATAATAAAGCGTGTTACCTAATTAATTTTTCAACAAAAGTAGGTAGGTACTTTCAAAAATCATTAGATATTGATTTTATTTTAATGTATTGACAAATTTTTGTTTGTGTTTTTTGTTAGGTTTGACCTGCTTATCATAATTATCATCACTACATAGTACAAAATAAAGTCGCTATCGCTGTCTGTCCGTCCTTATGTATACTTATATCTTTAAAACTACGCAACGGATTTTGAAGCGGTTTTTTAATAGATCGAGTGATTCAAGAGAAAGGTATATATAGGTATATAATACATATCTATGTGAAGCCGGGGCGAGTAGCTAGTTAGGTAATATGTTTAAAATATTGATATACTTATATTTTTTTTCATTTTGCATAGTGGTTGCCAACCACACATTTGGTGCGTTGGCGTTGGCTTCGGCAATTGCCATTTCCCTCATGTTTGTAGGCATTCACGGGAAATTACGGTTTGGGAAATATTGGGGCTGGTGTAATCTACTCAACAGGTAATAGCTTTTACAGAGCTCTTGTTACCTTTTGCCAAAAACTTAGGCCACCTAATCCCAGTGCGATGGCCCGTCTTGGCTATAGAGTAACAGTACAGTACAGTAGTTGGGGTCCTCAAGTACAACACTCTGTATTTTGTGGGGAGGTGTGGAAACTGGGAAGAGTTTCTCCCACGCGATACCTTGAGTAGAGGCTTGTTCACGTGGACCTCCGCGACTCTCCGCGGCCTAATATAATATATGAATACTAGGTACCTACATTATATAATACCTACATATATATTTTATTGAAGTCCTAATTTCCAATCGAATATTGTAGTCGTTTTAAAACACTCATGTTATTTGGTAGGTACTCGTACCTACATCTAGTTCTATATTCCCTAGTTTACTTTTATCAAGACCAACTCGATTTTGTACTTATTTATATTCATAATTATCTTACACTTATTGATATTTCTTTAAATGTCTAAAAAATAAAAATATGTCTGTTTTATTTCCAACAGTTTTAATTTTGTTATTATTACTAAATGTTAGTTCTTTAACTTTTAGTCAAAATGTCCGTACTAATAAACAACACTCCTTATGTCAAATTCAGGTACATTTGTTTAGTTTTAAATACTTAGTAGATATGTACCTAAACAAATTGTATTTAGATGTAGATAGGTACGTAGGTATTTGATACGTATTCGTTTTATATTTTTAAAGACAAAATTTACATGCCATAGACTTTTACTTAATCGGATTAATTTCCCAAAGCTAGATATAACGGCAGTTATATTAAAAAAAAATTATTCTGTTGATTTTGGGAACCTTTATTCAGAAGATGCTGTACGTATATCTACATAGACAATTAATCATAAACTTTAAAAGTGTATGATTAATTTCCAATTGCGAAATATAACATGGAGATATCGTTTTATGAGTAAAGTCTATTTTCGTGTTGGCTTTTAAGAAATGCAGCTTAAATTTTAGAGGCATTTAGAGGCACGTGGCTCCTCGGACCGCAAGGCCGTAGGCGGTGTCCCATGTCGCCCACGACTTACATACCTACATTATTCCTATTTACCTATTTAACCATGAAAACGAATAATATCTCTGAGTAACTATATTAACATAACTACTGGACGGTGCACTTTGTTTTTCTTTTTGTATATATATTTGCATCGTGTTTACATCTGTCTAGAGTATTTAATCATACTGCAGATCTAGTTGCTACTCAATTATATACCTATCATAATGATTGAGGAAGAGGCACATTAACATTTTACTAGACATTTTTTTAAAAGACAATTAGAGAATGTAATATTCAAGTAATATAGTATATCTAAAAGACTGAACTACTTTCTCAAAATTGAAACTATGTAAACTATAATAGTTTTAAAACCTCCTGCACCGATACTTGATCAATAAAAGTCTGAAATTTTTACACATTTTTTTATTTTATTTCAGGCACAGATTCTTGCTGACCATTGTACTGGGTATGAGAAAACTACTAATACAGATGAAGACAAAAAAGCAATTTTAAACAAAATAAATTCTCGACGGAATAAAGTAGCTTCTGGTAATATAAGCTCGTTTCCGTCTTCGGAAAATATGATGAAATTGGTAACGTTCACAAATGTTTAATAATATGTTTGAAAGTAATATATCTAATTATTTTTTATTAATGGACTTATCAGTCCACCGATTTAATAACAGGCTGAAGTTAATTCGGTCATCCATGGAAACCATTATGGTTAATTCGTAATGAATCATACTAATTCCTCATAGCAGCCGTAATACAAACCAAACCTACGTGAACAAAGATTAAGTAAGTATATCATTGTGTGTATATCTTAAGAGATACTAAACAATGAACGTTTGTTATTCTTTTTAAAATGTTGGGAGACAATTTACATTTAAATTTTTCTTAAGAAGTTTCATCAGATTTGTCAACATCAAACAGTGTTGGCTAATATTAAACGTCTTTAAGAATAATAGCTTCAGTAATGAAAAGAAAATAAAATGTAAATAAGATGCGATTCATTGCACTTTGTGGAAAAGTTATCTTAAAATAAATAACGAAATTTGTGTTAGATATAGGTACCTACATTATATTATTTAACGCTCGTTATGGTGACGTGGTAAGGAGTGAAAATACTATGGGGCTAAAGTAACAAAACAAGGATACTTATCCACTAATTAAATAAAACCTTATATCAAATCTCCTGATATACTCGTACATATTTTTAGAGATTTACATGTCCATTGTATGTCATCTACTTATAGTCGCATTATTTAAATTATTAACCGGGTCTTAACACGAATAATTTTATGGCAAATAAAGCCAATTCAATAGCATCAATAGTCAATAAGTGTACGGATACCGTGAGTGCTGTGTCGCGAACTTTCGTTAAACAATCTAGTGACGGTAGATGAAGAAAAAACTGCTGTCACCTATCTACATTGACATCGCTGTTACTCCAGAAAGCTCGTGACCACGGCTAGTGCAACCTAGTCGAAACGTCGAGAGAGATAAATACCTTTATTTGTCATAAAATTATTCGTGTTAAGACCCGGTTAATAATTTAAATAATGTATATTAAACACGAAAGTTTAAAATTAACTACTTATAGTCGCATTGAAAAATAGGAATGGAGCGATGCTTTGGAAACATCAGCACAGAGATGGGCAGATCAATGTGTCTTACAAAATTCCTCTGATATTTTGGATCCCTGTCGAGATTTAGGTAGGTTTTGGCTTACACTTTTTTATTCATAAACGTGTCAAAAATCTTTAAAGGTGGTAACTTATTCAGAGCGATTTTGGAAAAGTTACCACTTTTAAAGATGTGTAGCGATGTTATACACTCGTGAGAAACCCAGCACAATATTCCTATGATCCAAGAAAGTTCTTTGCTGAGTATAATAGGTATAAAGGTGGTTAGGTTTGTAAGCCTTTTTTTAAATGTTATGTGAGTGATGACAATCGTGTGATTTTGTAGCATTTATTACAAGTACTATGTACCTACTTAGTTTTTTTACCCCCAACTTTTTTCAATTATTTATAAATAAAAATCATATATCCTTAATATAAAGTAAATAATACAATAATGTATTTCTTGGCTGAATTTTCTGACTTAGAATACAAATTATTCTATATATTGATCTATATTTAATCCAATAGGCAACAAATTTTATTAATTTTGTTCAGAGGCGGGTGACTATCAAACATCCAATCTTTTCAAGTATCTTAACAATATTAGTACGAATATTAAAGATAATTTTTTGACATTAGAAAACGTGTTAGTGGGCCAGAACATTGCGACGGTACACGGTGATGCACCAGGACTATGGCCTGTATCATTGGTTGATGTGTGGTATATGGAGTTATTGCACACCAATGCTTCAATAATATCTCGTTATATTCCGTAAGTGGAAATAATGCTATAGCATTTATGCATAGTTGTGTTTACTCATTATTCAAGAATAAAATATAAGAAATATACTAATGAGAATTGTTTACTGAACAATGTAGTGGTATGTATTTACTTAGTATATATTTTTTATATTATTGTACATTGTGCGTGTTCTTTTAAATAAAAGTAGTCGGTTTGATGAGTTTCGGATTCGATTTCGATATTAAGATTACATGGACAGTAAAATGACAAGATACGAAGAATGGCAACGCTTGAGAGTGTCACAGTGCTACATAATGTGAGTTGTGCTATTTATGTTTATAATTATATTCAATGAATGCCTGAATGAATCTGGTGGACTGGCTTGTTTGTAATTCCAGTTCTACATAATAAATATTAGTTTTTTGAAATTATCTAACTTATCTAACCAAATATTTAAATCACTAAATTTTAGATCATCAGAGACGGGATTATCGCATTACGATTATTTCACGCAACTGGTTTGGGCTGAATCCAGTCATGTTGGTTGCGGCAGCGTTAAATATAAAGTAAGTTTTAAAAGTTATCAATTTAGACATTTTTTTAATCGGCCCTATAATAACTCTACTATCGAAATATGTAATAGCACTAATGTTTTAGGCACCTATAGGTACACAACTTAAGAGTTTCTAAGTTACTGTTCTTAGGTTTATCTACAATATGGCAATAAGCTTTTTAGTTTTTTGTTTTCAGTTGGCAGTACAATTTTCACTTTTATGGTAGTTCAAATGGGAGGAGATAAATGTATATACTTTGTGTATTGTTTTACACAGGACATGTCTTTTTAAAATAAAGTATTAAACTTAGCCATGGATTAGCATAGGAATTCAATATAATAATATCAATAAATAACACTCAATAAATAATAAAATAACACTTTTATCATTACAGCAAATCATAAATGACAAAAATAAAATTATGAATAAAACCATAAATAGATTAGTATGCAATTTTTCACCAAGTGGGAATCTTTTATATAAGACTGTTTATAATGTAGGACCGGCTTGTTCAAGATGTTTATATGATTCCGTCTGCGATACCAAATATGAAGCTTTATGTTGTAAGTTTTAAGGATAATGTATGTTGAGCTTAGAAATTTACACCAAACTACTATTTCTATAACCAGAAGTAATTCCAGAAAGTCCTTTATTGATTATTATTTTTTCTTTATCCAGTCATTTGGAAGCAAAGATTATCTCTAAGTTAGTTACTTATAAAACGAGTCACGTATGATTCTGGAAAAATGTCGAGCTTCTTATTGTAGATTACTACTCAGAATGCTGAGCTGTGTATAAATTTTCTATTTCAATATGATGGAATAATCATGGTACTTTTATGAAGTAATTTATTTAAGTATTCGTGCCTGTAACAATATATTATTAAATATGTTAAGCCAAAGTACTAAAGTAGAAATAATTATTTTATATTGTATATAATTTCTATTTCTTTTATAGAAATTATAAGCCAATAGAATTATTATTAATTTTCCTGTTTTAGCTACTCCTAACCAGAAAGAGACAGAAAATGTTTCCAAGAATATGACTGATATAGCACAGAAATTCAATAAAGCTAATACACACCGCCAAAATTTATCAGACTATACAAAAATAAACAGAACAACCACAGACTTAACTGAAGACTATGATTATTTTACTCCATATAATTATTTCTCACGATTTTTAGAAACACCTAAACTTACGACTACATTAAATGTTGATAATAGCAGTTCTTGTAAAGTCTTAGTAGCTGTTGATAACTTATTAGAGTTAATAAAAAAAAAGCTCGGTAAAGATCCAATATTCAAGGAGCTCATTTTAAGTGGTTCAACACAAGTGTCTGATATCCCTAACACATATACTGACATGAGTGTAGCAGCATTAGTAAATCAGCTTTATAGCACAAAAGAAGTAGCCACTACAGTAAAACCAACTGAAAGCGACAATATTAATTCTACTTTACTTATTGATTTAGTGGAAGCTGTAATATTTAGAAATGGTGGTAGGTTCAAAAATTTGTTTGACATTTTCATATATCTATTTGTATTTGATTTGACTAGTCGAAATATATGTATACGATGCTCATATTATAATATTCAACCTTTTTTTATGGTCATAGATAAAATTTCAACAACAGAAGGCAGATTAGAAATTATACAACCAGAATCTCATATGAGTCCCGTAAAGATACGGGCTGAGCTTCCTGAAGTAAAACTGAATAATGACTTTAGTGGACATTACTTTTTTCCTGAAGATGAATCCGAAGAAATAAGTTCTGAAACAACTCAAATATACGATGATATTTCAGAACTTCCAATATCTGATATAGCTTTGGAAATTGAAGATTTGAAGCGACAAAAATCCACAAAAGATTTTTTGGAAGATATAATTGAATTCGAGTCTGCACCTGAAAGTAGGACACCACCAATTTTTTGATGACAGATTTTATGAAATAATCTTTGTTTCACAAAATGTACTTTATCTTAAAAAAATAAATAGTTACAGTTTTCATTTATCTTTACAATAGTGTTTATTATTGTACAAGTATAAGAGAATAAAAAAGATGTTTCTGAATAAAAATTTGTTATTTCAGATTTTGTGATAAGAAATAAGCGTCAAATTTACTTTGAAAATGGTAAAAACAACCGTAAAATACATCATAACAAAAACGATGTACCTTTGAGAAAACTAAGGAATACAAAAGAGTTGGATTTAATAAACAACAGAGATTACTTTGTTATTAGATATAATATATTATTAGAAAAAATTGCACAAGACTTAAAAATATTGAAACTTAATGAAAGATTTCACTGCTCTGGAAGTGTATGCTTGAAAAAATCTTTTGAATTATTTGTAATTTATTATATCATTGTATTAATAAAAACTATTATTAGATAAGGTATATTTATTATTAAAAATTATCGTCTTTAAATATGTACTTTTTACAAAGTTTATAAAATAAATATGTAATACACGTTACATATAAATAACAAAAATATTAATACAATATTACTCCTCAACGTTACGCAGAAATTACACAAACATTCATTAATTTTATCAGAATATGTTTTGCTTTTCCAGTTGCCTATAATTTTGTGTAAAACTAAGAAATATAAATCTCCATATGACAATGCACTTGATAAACTTTTCGGTGCTAAAACATTATTAGCAATATCCGCCCTTAACTGATTATTAGTTCCATCTCTCTTTCTCCTAAAGTTGTCTTTATAACAAATACAATTGGCCTGAGAATTGGTTGTTGTTAAGGTTTGTGAGTAAAGCAAAACTCGAGTGTCTTCATTATTGAACCTTGGACGCTTTGAAGAAAAAGGTGCATTTTGTTTCAAATTAGTATTTCTTTTTCGAATATTAAGAGATTTTCTTTCACAATAATCTTCATTGTCTGGAGTGGGTTCTCCTAAGCTTTCCTCAGAAACTGTTGCAATTTTATTCCTGCCCATAAAATCTCTGGTACATGTAGAAGTACGAGTACATCCGTCAACATAACCAGGCGGTGTACGTGAACCACGGTCTATGTTACCTCCTGCAATTACAGATCCATCAGCTCCAGTGGGGCTGGATGCCGTCCAAGTACATGTTAATTTGCGGGTACAATGTTTTTTTCTTACAAAAGGAGTATTAGCAGTAATTTCTGTTGTACTTGTATCTGCATTAGTGTTTCTTAAGGCATCATTAGCTTTACGTCGTGAATCAGTCTCTATGTCTGTAATACCCATTTTTCTTAAATGCATTAATTCATCAAATGACAAATATTTCTCTGTTATAGGATATTGATTATGGATTCGGAAGGTTACATTAAGGTTGCTAGTATCTTTGATTTTAATAGTTATGGGTTCCGTACTTGTAGGATTACTTGTATTTTTTGTGTTTTTTTTCGTTGCTTTTTTATTTTTATTTCTTAACGTTGTATATTTGATTGATTTTAAATGAGCAGATATTTTAGGATTAAATTCACTCACTTGCCAAAAAGGCTTAAATTTTTCATCACCACGTTTTTTTCTTACATGTAAATCAAAAGGGTTATAAGAGAAATAGTCATGATCATTGTTTGAACTTTGAACATAAATATTTGACATTTGTTTTTGTCGATGCTGTTTATGAGTCGTTTTGAATCTTTTAGCACTAGTAGACATTAAATTCCTTAAAGGACTTAAAGAAATGTTATCATCAATAATGTTGCCACTAGGAACGCCAGTTTTTGGCAATAAATCATAGTAATGTAATTCAGCAGGCCTTGTACTTACCGCAGTAACAGCTTCTTGTCTTCGAAAATTTGAACAAGTACTACTACTAGAACAAACTACATTTGTAATTGCTACTGGTGTTGTGCAAGAACATAATTCTTGACGAAAGACATTGTTATTAGTACAATAAGTACTTTTGGTTGCTTCACATGATTCTGTAGGTTGTAAACATTCGCTATTTACATTTTTCCGTGTACATTTACCGTAAATGTTTTGGCGTATTGAAAAAATATTTTTAGGATACTTCATTTTTCGTGTGCAATCATTTTTATTATATTTCCTGTAACCTTGATGTGTGTATGAATTAAAAGTATCTGTGGAGTAATCGAATCTCCTGATATTTACTTCAGTAGGTCTTTGATGAAATAGAGTGTAAACATTTTTGTGTGCATTGTAGCTGTGATGAACATGTGAATGTCCATATTCTTGAGGATAATTCTGTTCATCCGGACGCCGAGTATTAATCATATAATTTTTCCAGTTACTGTGATGAACAAGTTTTTTTGATCCTGAAAGTAGGGACATGACCTAATATTGTAATTTATCTGTATATTAAACAAAATAACTAAAACATTAATTTCAAAAAGATAACAATGAATTAAAACAATTGTGTCTCAATATATATTATGTGTCTCAATTATACTATAATAATAATAATCCAGAAGATTATTATTATTATTGTCGTCGCGTATTTGAGTAGATGTTGCTCCTAAACGTTAAACTTACTTAAACTTAATAATTGAAGACAGCGAGAATGATTATATTTTTAAAACTATAGGAGAATATGCATAGGAGTCAAAAGTGTCGAATAGATATATACATATATCTAATATCTTGATATATAATATTAAATTGTATTGTGTTACAACACTTTAGAAAATAATTCCATATTGGTCAACTGAACTGACAAATATATTTAACTTTCATCCTATATATTTATAATGTAATCCCTAAGAAATATTAAGTATCAAATGTTTCAATACCATTAGTATTATTGAAGACGTGCCTCGTCTTCTGATGCCTCTGTTCAATAGTTTTATTAATATTCAATTTTAGATGTTTCCAATGATTACGAACAGGATCTATTTCTTGCTTAACTGAGGTATTTGACAAATTAACGATCCTAAGTAAACTGCTCACCCGCGGGCGGTATGATGACGGTGTTAATTTTCTCTCTGTAAGCAAATCATTTAGTTAACTTGTTTGATTTTAATATCCAAGCATAATAGATATTGGCAAAATATAACTCACCGTTTTCTTGTATCTGCCGTTTACATAGACCTTTAAATTTATTGTCTGGTCTAGTATTAACTGGGCATTGTGTAGCTGGGTATCCTATGTTATAAATTGGCCTGCCATGGATATTTCCTTTTGGTGCGAAATTACATACTAATCTTTCGAGCATTGTTTTTTGTTTATGATGCTGAAATAACGAAATATAAATATTTTTTTATAGCTATATAGAAGGCAAATGAGCTTACGCACATCTGATGATAGGAGCTATAAGCCAGACAACGCTTGGGAATGTCAGGAATAGCAGACCTTTTAAGGAGGAAAAAGCCCTTCTCTTGAAGGTTTCAATATCGTACCGGTTCGGAAATACCAGTGCTTTATGATGATTCCACAATGCGGTTGTGCATGGTAAATTAATGTGGTATGATCTCTACATAGGTACATTATATATTTATATTTTTTATTTATTTGTACATTTTATTACTAAAAATAAATATAGTTTTGATTTTCCATACTTGTAATATCTTAGGTGAACGTTCTATAAATCTAAAGCAATTTGCAGTATTTCAGTCACACCTAGTGTTGCTGCTAAGAAGCTACCTTCACTTATTTTGCTTGAACGCAAGCAATGATCCACTTCCGAAAGTGAGGTATTAAAAAGTCGTCACACTAGATGTGGCGGTGGTGGTGACAGTTACCATCGCCGTATATGTTGTTTTGAGGGAAACACTACGTTGTTACATCGAAGAATGTAATAATATAGAAAGTATAACAAATAGGTAGGTACGTACATAAAATCTAGCTCTGCCACATCCTACCATATCCGTATCAGCCCAGATTAGTTGTGTAAAATAGTATGTCTTATGGTTCCGTGTTCTGCAAATATAACAATATTAATTAACAAGTTAAAAACATCCTTCTTGTTCTATCTATTCTATGTTTATTTAGAGACCTATAGAAAACAACAAGCCAATAAATTTCACGTTAAGTGCTCTTAACTTTAGCCCGATTATCTGGGGATTCATTTTCTTATTCAAGAAATATGGTGTGACTGCTGAGACTTTGTATACAGCGATAAGAGCGAGGTTGAGGTATACTACAATTGTCCTAGACTTGGGTCTTTTATTGACTGTCCTGTAGATAGCTTCTGTGATAAGCTGCCTACCAATAGCTTTCAGAGACATAAATAGATACGAGATGTGACGAAAACTTCAGCGAATCAATATCTGGCTATAGTATATAAGTCCCCATGTCTACGTATTAATAAAATTTACTTTCAAAGTGGAAATATTTTTGTTTTTTATGAGTTCTGCTTTTATATATATAGTAATATTTATTATATTTTGAAAGTATAAATTACATAAGGTTTATTATTACAAAAAACTGATTAATATTAAGAACTAACTTACGATTTCCACTTAAATTCTACAGATGTTTTGCTAATTTAACTTACATGTGAGATCTGGTAGTACATAGCTTCGATTAAAAATTAATCTTAAAAATAGTTCTATAATTTAGAATTACAATATTATGAATAATAAAAGTTACAAAAAGTGAGTACCTTAAAGCTAGTAGAAAAAGTTTAATAAAATGAATAACGATTGTATAGAATAATTAAGTAAGGCAATGCAGAAATAGTATTATTCAGTTGTTAAACCTCAATCCACCCACAAACAAATCAAATTGAGGACAATCCATTATTTGTTACAAAGTTAGTATTTACTGAAGCATTCATTAAAATGACCTTGGAACCCGTGAAATAAACGAAGAAACTCTATTTAATGACACCGGAACCCACACAGACCGTAAGATTAAGGCCGTGTGGTAGTGTCTACATAAAGTTACATATTTTAATTCTGACATACCCATCTATTGCAAACGATAATTTTGTGACAGACTTTAAAAATAATATAATTAGGTAAATGAAATTCGCATTCCATATGAGTATCTACTATGTGTTATAGTCTTATGTACTTGATTGTTAGTTTACTCCTCCATTGTAGATACTTTATTAATTGAGCACTCTACGATCTACCGACAGAACTAGTTTTTTGTAGAAACAGATCAAGTTCTGTAGATACACGATAAAATAGCTACATAACGTACTCACTTACTGATTGTAATATGCAACGCTTCCGAAGTATTCTAACATTGGCATAGACCAAATGTCCACAAAACTTTTGACTTTGAAATCCGGTGACGGATCTAATATGCTGGCTATATTCTGACCGACACTAGAGTTCACTGGAATACACTTTTTATTTAATATTTTAATGTTATGATGTTAACAAATTTTTAATATAGTAAGTTAATGATATCATTATTATATTTATATAATAGACATAAACAGTGACGGTAAGTCATTATTAGATAGATAAGTCGAGCAGCATCTTATTTATTAATCCTAGTAATATATAATAAAATTATAGTTAATAAGAATTGTTCAATTTTAAAACATTTTTAAATTCTCTATTTTTTACTGGTTTTCATTTTAGAAACTTACTCTACTTTTTATCTGAATAACGATCTTAGAGAAGATAAAATTTATTTAGACTAATATATATCTAATCATGATTTGAAATTGTTACTAATTAGGTATTATACATTTATCATAAATAATGTAGCATGAGTAGGTAGTAGATTAACTTAAATAAAAAAATCAAAAACTCTACTTTCCTCTATCCAAAAAAATAAAAACTGTAAATTGTGGTAAATTTGCATAAGATATTGTATTATTCTAATGAACGAGGTATTAAAAGGCTTACCCAAGTCTCGACACTGATCCTCCTTATCGGGCCGAAAAGATTGATCGCACTGATTTACCCAACGTTCTGCGAACGTTGCTAACTCTTCTGACCACATCTGTAATAGGTCATTAATTACGTATTCTAATTTAGGCTTGTCTTCTATATAATAAGTGTTTCCAATTAAATAATTTAATGATCAATAGCTAATATTCCGTTTAATAAAACAAGGGCTAATTACGTAGAAAGGGTATCTTTACAGTTATTGATTTTAATTGAGATATTATAAGTGGTTCTGTGCTATTAAGAGTGTCAATAGTAAGGCTGCAAATTTAAATCCAAAATATTGATTCTTCTCTTATCTGTAAGGTCAGTTAAAAGAGCGAGAGATCTTTGATTGAATTAGCTTTTTATTATTATAGCTAAATGGCTAAATTACCCGCATAAAATTGTTCAACTTAGTAAAAGACAAAACAAAAATATAACTTTCATAAAACACTCAATATAATCCGAATAATCTATGAATAATTTCCCGAGCAGGCAACAGGATTACAAAGATTTTATAGGTATTTTACATTCTAATCAGATCTCATATATTTAGAGCTAGCCATTATCTGCGACTACCCTTTGTTTTTTTAGATATAAATGATAGCCTCAGACTGACGGCTGGATCACGAGGATTGGCGTCTTCGATTTATCAAATATTATTCTATTAAATTTCAATATTCATCCTTTATCTGGTTAGTCGTGAAAAGATAACAGACGGACAGACATATTTGCGTCTATAATCTTTACAGTTCATATACAGTATTACATATATCTAAATATTTAGGCCAATATACAAATAAGTTATACCATGTAAATAATTATATAGATTTACTCGTACTACTAGACCACTAGGTATTCTCTATATAGATATTTTTAAGGAATGTAACGAAGATATGTTCATCGAAGTACTTAATTAATTGCTATAAATAAATATAACTTACGAAATGAATAAAAGAGACAAAAAATTAATAAAGGAAATGCTCACAATTTTATAAGTATCAAAGACCATACGAATTTAATTAAGAACCGATTTTAATTAAACGATGGCGAACAAGGAAATCTGCATCCATTATGTTATTTGATTTTAAAAAACAACTGTAGAATTTAAGTGGAAACCGTATAAAAAAATGTTTTATAGGCGCTTCATTAATTCCTTCTACGACAGAGAGCCCTTGTGACTTCAAGATTTAAGATACTAAAATAGTTTCCACAGTCTGAGATGACATATCCTATAAATAGACCTGGAGAATAAACCAACAGCTATTAGTATGTACCGTCACGTGGTATGTTATCCCATTACTTGATAATGTACTTAAATGTAAGATGACTAACGTAACCAAATAAGTGATATATTGTATATAATTTCACAAATAGGTACATATCTCTATAAAGTAGTAATTATCATGATGGAATTATATTATTAACATGCTTCTAAATAATTTTAATTATTGACACATCATTATCCTATATTTTAAATAATATTCTTAAAGAATATGACTATTTCAATAGTCGAAATCAGTTTATTGAACGCATGGCGACAATATAAAAATATTGGAAACCAACAATAACGTATAATTATTTTGATGCATTTTAATAATAAAATTCACATCATAATAATTATCATTTTTATAGAGATACTTGTGAAGTATTAAATTATTCAGTGATAAAATATATACCAGCTGAGTCAGCGGTTTCACCCGCGTTAAATTTCAATATAAAATATAGCCTATATGTTATTCATATGCATTAGCTATATTACTGTAAAGTTTCATTAAAATCCGTTCACTAGATTTTGCGTGAAAGAATAACAAACATACATACTTACAAACTTTCGCATTTTTAACACCAATTTTTTTCCTGTAATATCACCTTTATATCAGGTACAAATCTTGTCACAGGGTGTGTATAACAGCTTACCAATACACTATGTAACTATTAGTGTGTCATCTTCCCCCGCCCTTTGTTCATTAATGTGCGATATTATTCTTTTTTTCCACATCAACATCTACCTACATTCTTTTCACAGGTTATAATGTTTTGTTTTTCATTTTGAATCAATGGTAAAATAGAAAAAAATATATAATCCATTAAAAAAATATTATTGTCGTAAAGATATTTTCTATTTAGAACATAGCTATTTATTTATAGAAATTGTATAATTTCTTTACATTGAGCATTATATTATCCCTATAATCTTAATAAAATTGTATTACGAATCCACTTCATACATATTAAATCTATGTTAATAAGAGAATATGGTTACGCTTTAAGTTATGTTATTATTAAATTAGATTAGCTAACAGTTTTAATAAAAAAAGTATTAAAATTTTCGTTGTCAACGTCTAATTGTATTTTCTAACTACTTTGGTTAAATAAATATTAATTGACAATGAAATAAATTTATTACACTAGCTGTTATTGGTATGTACTAAGCAATAAAATCAATTTAGACACAAATAATGTCCTAGAGAATAGTATTTATAAGTTCATTTTCTAGTTTGAACGGCTACATAAATGATTGTGTAAATATTTCGTAGGTACATACAGCTACTATACGATATTGTTTTTGTTCCAACTAACAATTTTTTTCATGTTGACTGCTTGGGGGAAAACTTTCGAGAGTCCGAGAGCAATAAAATTTCTCCGGTCATTGATTTTAGTGACAATCTCATTAATATCTTTTTTAGTAAGAAGAGCCGTGTCATCATATTGTTTACAAGAGGCACTTGGTCCAGACATCTGTAATATAGCAACACGATATTCTATAACAGCATGATTGGACATAATTTCAATCTGTCCATTGGATATTGACAAATTAGCGATCGAGAAGTATATATATATATATATATATAATATATAAATGTAATATAAAAAAATTTTGTATCAGTGTTACAAAAATTAAAAACTTTTATAATAGCTAACCTCATCACAATTTAATTAATTATTAAATTGTGATGAGGTTAGCTATTATAAAAGTAAATAATGTATTGAAATAATTGTTTGAGTATAATAATACTGGTTTCGAGATGTATATGTACATGATATATATCCTAAAGGATATATATTCCCTATTATCTCGGTTTTTGCTGTAGTATTTCAATTCGGATATACAAAAACTAAATCTTAAAAGCTAAGCACAAGACGTGAAAATAATCTGGTTTTGATTTTAACGAAAATACTAGAAGTTACAGGTATGATTAGAAATTATAAGCTGGTGCGAATAAAAATATTATAAAGTAATAAACTTAAAACATACTGTGTATTTGCAAAGTGTATGTTGGGAACATATCTCACAATAACTGGCACAGCATACAACGGTACTGAAATATATGAAGAATACAATTAATTTCACTTTTACCATAATAAAATAAATATGAAACGTATACGAAAAACTCGAATGACGGACAACTTATTATTATAACGTGGCCTTATAGATCACGTATTGCATGTTAATTTAATCGATTATTCAGATGTGAGCTAAAATGGATTTTTTGATATTTATTGGTTATGGTTTTACTGTTTCACATTTTACTAATTTTATTTATAAATCTTAAGGTAATAAATAATTTTGTACTTGAAGAAAAAAAGGGCGACAGTAATAGTATTGTAATAAATAATGGGCAGATAAATTTTCAAGGTAATTTTTTAATTAAATCAGTATCCTAGTAACTATAGATATATTTATTTATACTTCACTTATTACCTTTAGATAATCATAAATTTTATAAAACTATCTTTCTCAGATGTTCGTGAAAGGGGTTCGAATATTTTTATTACAAAACCTTTCTTTCAAATTATTCAGAATTTAACGAAAACGAAAACCTCAAATCTTAAATCTAATATCTTTGACAAAATGCTGTCCGATGAAATGTTGTCTATAAAAAGGCTTTTTCATCAAAAGAATCTTTCACATACACCTATTCAAATTACCTCAAACGTAAGTGTGCCAACACCGACTATAGATATAAAACAGAAATGGCCAGCGGTAGAATGTATATCTACAACATCAAATTATACCAGAGACATTACAGATACACGAAATCAAACAGATACAACTACAAAAGATATTAATCTAATCTACAATAATGACCCTGTTAAAAAAGCAGTTAAAAAAAATTTAGGACTTAGAAGTTTGCCTAAAATGACTGCGAATCCTGCATTGGCTCGACATCATCATTTGTCTATGTCTAGCAAGGTATGCACTTGTATGAAGAATAATCCCTCTACAACATGCAGCTATAGATGTACAGGCATTACTAAAAAAATTTGTACACATACTTCGTCAAGCACAAATTATCATCGATGTACGAGAACTGTGCTACCACTATCAATGTTTCCAGCCGTGTATGTGCCATATGAAACTTATTTTGTAGAATTATCAACAAACGCACCTAACGAATATTATGACAATAATTACGGTGACAAAACAGATGAATATAAATCAAAACACAAGCATAAAAACAGGCCATATAAAGATGAAGATTTGTATTATGAAGATACTGAACATAAAGGATCCTCAAAATTGTATAATAATGAATATTACGACTATTATTTAAATAAACCTGTGACAGCGAGACCACATGATATTGATTCATCAAAAAATATTGTGAATGGGGATCACTTTGTTATCAGCAAAGTGAATCAAGATAAATTGGTGAATGAAGTAGAGAAAGATTTGAAAAAGTTTTACAGTAATGTGGCAATTAAGGATTGCTATTGTTCATCAGTGCTAAGAAATCATATAGAACCTCTAATGTATTATTTGCATGATGCAAGATGCTTTTTAATCCTATTTATATTCTTGTTTCTTTTGTAAATTCATTGTTTTAAATACTTTCCCAGTAAAATTTTCAGTATTATGTTAATATACTAGAGTTACGTTGTCAAATATTCAACTGTGACCATTATTATTATTAGTGTATCAGTATTAAATGTCTTACATTGTTTTTTACATTTTGACAATATTTATAACTGTAGGAATATTTAGAGCGATTTATGCACACACATATTATGGTTTTTATTATTAGATATTTTTGGAATTTTTATTTTCCAATAAAATTTGCTAATTTATCAAAATTATCAATATAATGTAAGCACAAAATAAATTCCCTCAGTATTAATTTTGTTAATATTTCAATTCTTTTTTGTTAGAAAGAAAATTTTGAAAGAAACAAAGGACAGATGGTGTTTTTGAACAGTCAATTGGTCATCAGTATATCCACTTATCACATAGTATATGTGATAAGTGGATATTAGTTTAAGATAGTTTAAGATATTAGTTTAATTCTGATAGTTAGTTTAAATACATAGGAGAATGGCTGAATTAGACAAATTTGAGCAAAGTAGATATTCCAAGGTAGGTATATAATTTGCGTGTGAGCCTAAAATTGATTAGTAATATCAATATTATATTATCTGTGGTAATGTAGTTATTACTTAAATCTTCAGATGTTAGGCTCTTTTAAGCAGAGATTTCAATAATTTCTGTTGATCATGGTAAATATAATTATATCTATCTATAGCACCAATGAATGAATAAGTACTAATCAAACCGTAGCGGCGCAGTAGCCTTGTCTTTGTATGCTAACTTGCCTTCGAGTGAAATATTTGGAATATTAAATATTTTATGAGCTAGTGGAGTATTACGTTCACCAGAATGTCAACTGCCTTACAGTTTAATAATACGAATGTGAAATGAATATTATATGCTATCACAGAATCCTCATCTAAGGTTAGTGTGTGACATGGGTTTCCTTTATGTTGTTTCGTAAAAGGGTTATGTAAAAACAAAAGATAAAAATGAAAACTACGTATAGGTCACTTTGTTGTCTCCTTGCCTAATTTAACATCTTTTATTATTTTGAGTATCCATTGTTAAGTCCGAATAATGATTCGTGTGTTTTGCATTAGTAGAAAAATCACTACCATGCCATAACATCATTACCATAACAACATGATGATGATATACGTACTCTATTTTGTCAAATTCCGTATGAACTATGTAATTATAAAACCCTGAAATAGATATAGAATATCGAACGAATTTTGTGATACAGTGTAAATATTGACATTACACATTTTCTTAATCTGAAATGGCATTAAGGTTCAGTCCTACGCTATATATTAATTGTTGTACTATTGCATATATTATTATAAAATCAACTAAAGGAACACATTGTATAAAATAAAAAAATAAGCAAAAATGCAAATAAAATAATATCCTATTTAGACTTATAAATATACACATATTTTATGACCTACGAGTACCTTATGGTAAGTGGTAACCTATGTATATGTATAAGTGAACAGTAGATACTATGAACATCACGTGATCACTGTGGGACAATTCATGTGTTGCCATTCCAGAGGACTAAGATATCATTTCTCCCTCTCTTGTAAGTTAACTATGTTATCTTTTCCTTTAACCGAAAGACATTATACGAAGCTAGTTGCTTCGCGGCTGAAATAGGCTTGAAAAAGATGTACCTACGCAACTGAGACGATTCCTAACAAATATAAATATAATATAAACTAAATATACTTTGATAATAAATATCGTCTATTGTATTACATTTACTTCAGTGCCATAACTTCAGATAATAGGATAGAAAAAAATGAAATCAAAGCAGATTAAGGAGTAGCTTTCGGTTTAATGATTATAGTATTGTTATGGACCAGACAATTTGTTACGTGTCGTTAGTTATTACTGTTATGTCAAGCTCAGAGGTATACCCAACAAGATATTAATCAAGAGGATTACTATGAAAACGACAATATTGCTTTGTATATTGTGATAGTTCCATTAATACTGTTCATTGTACTATCATGTATAATTAATAGTTGATATTCTAAATGTTATTATTATATTATTACATGAGACTAACTATCCGTCCCGGATCCACATGGGTGTGCCACTGAAGAAAATTATACCAAATCTTTGCTACGAGAATATTTATAAATATTTTTCAATATATTTTTTCATTTACTTTATACCATTATTTTAACAAAATATTGCACTTAAAAAATTTACTATTTAAAAAAGTAAGGTTTCTGAATTGATTGCTTTCGATACAGTCTTTAAGTGATTTGATTTTTATTTATGATGAATATGATTGTTGATGAAAGCACAGATAACATAATAATAATAAATAACGAAAGTAAATAAAAAAATTGCATATTATCATTTCATTCATTTTATCATTTGCGTAATATTTTTCCATTGGCCCGGTATATCTAACCATATAATTAGGTAGATATATATCTTAAATATTACACAAATACCACAATTTTCAATTACGAATCCTATATACTTTTATTATAATACGCAACGGTAGCAAGTAAGCATATATGAGCTGACAATTGGTAAACAGAAACTTATTATTAACACGCCCTACACCATAATTGTGATGTGACATCTGTATTCAATACAACAAGACAACAACATTCTTGTCTAATGTATGAATATTATTGCTACCATTTATATGAGATAGAACAAGATAGGAATATCAGGCGTCTTGTTTTTTAATCGTGATAGCGAGAATGAAAGACAATATGTTTGTTTATTTTTTATTTTGCTGGAATAATAATCTAAGGTCAATTCATACAGCGCCGTCTAGACCCAATTTAAGCTAGATAAAGCTTGTGTTATGGGTACTAGATAACTGATACAAATACATAGATATATTTTTTTCGTAAATATATACATATTATATATAAAAAACACCCAGAAAAACAAACAATCATACTTATGAATGTTTACAAAATTTTTGTGCATTGCGAGGAATCGAACCCACGACCATCCGAAGTAAGGAGGTGTGCTAAACGACTAAACCACCAAGGCCGTCAAAAGAATGGAATGTCAAACAAGTTGATAGTATACATTATGATATACCTGATAGAAATTGGTAACCATCACCATCACACTTGATAACTATATAACAGTATAACAGACATTACGTCGCTGATTAATTTGGTTTGTCCGTACCATTTAATTTGGCTGCTGCTATTAATTTTGCAATCCGAAACATTGAGGAACAAAGGAAAAATTGCCGTGTCAGTAATCCCATGCAAATAACTTTGTACAAATCCTACTTCGATAAAACAACTGATAGTTTAATCTCTTACTTATTTAGTGACTTTTGTTTTATGACTAGTTGAGTGTTCTTAGTTTCGGGCTAAAGTATGTTTATATTTAATAATATTTATATCGATATCCATTTCACTAATTCATGGTTTTACATTATTTTGTGTACGCGACTTGGTTTGGTTGTCGCCTAACACCAAGCGATATCCGAACTCCATTTAAAGCCTGATGACGTTTTGTTTACAGGTAAAACCCGTGTCGCAATATACCCTGGTCTCAATGATTGTCTGAATTTGATAACAATTAGAGAAGAAAATCGAGTTTCTGCACTGAATATTTGCGGTATAACTTATGTTAATTGTAGTGGAATTAAATAAAATAATATAAATCAATTAAGTAGTAAAGTATCCCTACCACTGTGGCAGTAGGTATATCGTCTCTAGACATACTAAACATTAATAATGGACACGCCAACATGGCGGAGTGACATCGAGGACGATATTGTTTAGACTAGTAAAAGCATGAAATTATACAACAATCGTCATGATGTTGTTTATGTAACTAGTCAATCAGTGACAATTTTTCTTATAAAACAAAGTTACATTGGCACAAAGTATATTTTGTTCCCGAAACGGCTATTGACTTCATGATACGAGCGCTTGTGTGTTGGGGTGTTGTTATTCACCCTGATGACATACCATAGGCAGTAATAGTTCATATACACAGAAATTCAAACAAAGAAAACAATACAGTCTAAATTGTTTTCTATATATCTATGAATTAGACAGTATTTTATTATTAATTTTGGTTTTAGTAACAGATAAATTATTTCACATATTTACACATTATCATTATACAACAATATTGCCATTATTAGTATTATTTATTTAGATATATCTACTATGTGTCACAGGTCTAAATGTTACTCGATTTTGTATTAAATATGGTACTTGCTGAGAGAGATTTAATAATATTACTTATAAAAAATGGGATTGCATTTAGTACATATACTTAGAAGTAGAGTTTTTTCCCAGGAGTGACACTTAAATTACTTGTAACTTAGGTAACTTGTACTTTTAAATTTGTGAAAGTACAGTTCGTAATTGAAAACAATTTTCTTACTAAGAACTTTTCTAAGCGTATTTTCTTGGACGATTTGTTTTTAAGTGTCATTCCTTTAATTAAAAAAATCTTGATGAATCGAATTATGTTGAAAATTCAGTTAAAATTAAAAAAAAAAGTTTTTATATCTCTATCTTTGAGTTACACGGTGCATAAATAACTCAAGAGGGAACCAAGCCAACCTTTCCATGTAATACAATTTTTCAAAGAAATAATAAAATAATTCTCACTTAATGATACAACCACAGATAATATAATATTATACAACTTTGGTTATATAAGAATGTATGTATATCCAATATACGGATTTAAGGAACATTCATAAATTTAAAGGGATAACAATTTTGTTCAATTTTATGACTTTCATTAAAGTTATTAATTAGTCAACGACGAATTTTCAACAGACCCTTTCATGACCAGATGTATTTGATACTTGCCTTTATAGAAGATCCACTAAAAGGTGATTGATTCTTCTTTTTGAATGAATAGCAATTTAATTGAAGTGGCTATCGATATTAATTAGTAATTGATTGGTAAAAAATTTAACACGAATTGAAGGTACCTTTCAGTACAAAGTATATTACAAACAGACACAACTACTTGTAACTTTGTTTGTGCGACCAATCTTGATTAAAAGAGATAAAATGCAGTAAATTCTCTTTTCTATGCAACATTTTCAGTGTGTACTACATTGAGAAATATTCGGAAACTATTAGTTCGATAAAAATCTAAATACGAGTATGTTAGATGATTTTTATCGTATCACGTAGTAATGGGAATTGGGTTTCTTTTTGTATTATATATATTATTGAAGAATAATGTCATCAAACCTATGCAATTTGGTTTCCAGAGAGGAAAATCTACATCGCTTGCATGTTACCACTTAATAAAAGATATCTGTGAAAATATTAATAATAGAATACCAACAATAGCACTATTCCTTGATATGACAAAAGCTTTTGATATGGTAGAACATGAAGCATTACTTAACAAATTGGACAATTTA